GAATTTGCCACAAAAGTAGAAGATGAGCGTGACTACCAAGAGGGCACAAAGGAAGCAAAGAAGCACTGTGAGCCACTCGGATGTAAACCACCCCGACATGGAAAGGTGTATCGGATCCAAATATCTTGTGCTCAGTGAGAGACTTCTGGAGGCCGTGACACCCTCAGCCATATGCTCACACGGTGTCTCCAGGACAGGCAACAGGGTGACCCAAAGCCTGGGCTCGCAGTTCGGGGTGGATCAGCCCTTATGTGAACTCACTGGGATGAGCCGAGGGGGGGGAGGTGCCGACGTGGGCTTCGGGACCATGTGGCGGAGTGTGCCTCCCTGATCTAACAAACTAGTCCAACAATAAAGACAACAGACAGTGTGGAGGGGACAGAGGAGGAGGCTACTTGCTTACCCTCGAGCAGCCGAAGAAACAGACAAATCCAGGAGCCTACTTACTGAACGAACTGAGGTTCTGGGTGTCACCAACACCATGGGCAGGAATCCATGTTTGGGCACCAGGTGTTGCGGGTTCTCCTCAGGCCAGCTGTGAAGACCCTAACCTGGACCGGGTCCCCTGCCGATTAGGGGGGTTAAGAGGTGCGGAGTCAACACACAGACCCTGGGAGTTGGGTAGAAGCAAGCACTAGGAGTGGTGCTGCAGGCTCGTTTAATGCAGGAGGGGGCAGGCCTTATATCTCCCTTTTCTCCACCCCCAAGTCCCTTTAGTCAGTGTATCGTTTCCTGATTGGTCCACACCACGCATTCTGTCAGCAGTCACTGGGCTCATGAGCAGGGTACGGAGGTGTGGGCTCCTTTTGGTGGGCTATTTGCGGACCAAGAAGTGAAGTGAATTCTCACTGAATCCCAGGGCTCTGGGTCTGTGCCATCTTTGGAGGCCTCCTGCTACACAGGCCCATTTGCCTAGGGAAGGCAGTGCCCACAGTGGGCTGAGCCTTCCTACATCAATTATCAGTCAAGAAAATGTTCCAAGTCAAGTGCTTTTAATCCTAGTGCTTAAGAGGAGGGAAGGAAGGAAGGAAGGAAGGAGGGAGGGAAGGGAAGGAAGGAAGGAGGGAGGGAAGGAGGGAAGGAAGGAGGGAAGGAGGGAAGGAAGGAAGGAAGGAGGGAGGGAAGGAGGGAGGGAAGGAGGGAGGGAAGGAAGGAAGGAGGGAAGGGAAGGAGGGAAGGGAAGAAGGGAAGGGAAGGAGGGAAGGAAGGAGGGAAGGGAAGGAAAGAAGGAGGGAGGGAAGGAAGGAGGGAGGGAAGGAGGGAAGGGAAGGAGGGAAGGAAGGAAGGAGGGAAGGAACTAAGGAAAGAAGGAAGGAAGGAAGGAGGGAAGGAAGGAAGGGAGGAAGGAAGGAAGGAGGGCAGGAAGGAAGGAAGGAAGGAAGGAGGGAGGGAAGGAAGGAAGGAAGGAGGGAGGGAAGGAAGGAAAGAAGGAGGGAAGGGAAGGAGGGAAGGAGGGCAGGCTTTCGTGAGCCACACAGACATGCCCACAGACCAATCTGATGGAGGAAACTTTTCTCAATTGAGGTTCCTTTTTTCCCAGGTGTGTCAAGCTGAGCACCGAGACTAACCATCACATCATCTAAGTCCAGAAACCCCCATGGATTCCACAAACCCATCTGTGGGATGTGAGGCACCTCTGGTGAGCCGTGAGTCCAGGACAGACTGTGGAGTTGAACATAAATGGGCCCGTTAGTGGGTGTACCCCAGTCATTCCAGCACTCAGAAGCCTGAGGCAGGAGGGTCTTGGGATTGAGGCCAGCCTGGGCTACACAATGAGACCCTATGTCACTTCCCCCACTCTAAAAGAAGAAATGTAGGATTAGGCCCTCTGCTGCCCAGCCCTGGGCTGCATTCTCACACTGGGGTTAGAATGGGGATCTCGGAACTCCTGGGTGGTATGTTTGCCTGTTGCCTCGGTAACCACATAACCCTTTGGGTGTTGAGGGAGTGAGGCTGCAGGGTTAGGAGGGGACCAAGGACATGGGGGAACTTGGGGAACATCGGCCCAGTTTGCTCAACAACCTTAACTCTGAGGACAAGGCCTTGGGTGGGTCAGAGCAGGGAACGGGCAATGGCAGTTTGGGCATCCAGAGCACAGTGTTTGAGAGCCACTGGCTTCAGGGCTCTCAGGCCACAGAGGGGCTAAGCTTAGGGGACCCAGAGGAGGAGATTCCCCCTGAGGAGGTGGCCAGGGCCGAGCTCCCAGAGGCCACTAATGTGGAAGCAAGTCTGAATCAAGACTTGGAGGTGGAAGTTGAAATGAGGTGGGTGCTGGGGGGCTGGTGGGCCAGGTGGGCAGGGCAGCCCCTCTGGACCCAGGGCAGAGCAGGTGTGAGCTGCCTGTGTGGGGAGGAGGCAGTCCCTGATGTACTGGCCCATCCTGGCCACCTCAGTCCTTGTCTTCCTTAATAAGGCCTGCTGGACTAGAGTGCGCTCAGCAAGCAGTTAAGGGCATGTATTGATCTTTCAGAAGACCCAGGTTTGGTTCCCATCACCCACATGTTGGCTAACAACCATCTATAACTCTATTTCCAGGGGATCCGATGCCCTTTTCTGGTCTCCAGGGGGATTGCATACTCATAATGCACATACATATATGCAGGCAAAACACTCATACAAGACCCACAAAATAATAAAAATAAGTAAATCAAGAAAGTCTGCCAGCATCCCAAGAGACAGGAGCTGCTCTGTCCCCTTCTGGGTCCTGGCACAACAGTTACTCAGTAAATAAGTGAACCTCATATTTAATTACCCAGTCCCAGAGTGTGGGAGTCAGCTTCACCCCATTCTGTGGGTTCAGGGCTCAAGGTGTGCAGCTGGTACCAATCCGCGTGGCACCAAACTCCCCCACCAAGGCCTCCTTAGGACAGTGAAGCTCCAAAGAGTCCTGAGTGAGATGGAGTGCTCTCTAGGTCCCCAGGCACATTAAGGTGGACTAGAGGGTTCCCTGACACTAAGTTCTCCCATAGTCAACTGTCCATCACTGAGAAGACCCCCAGTGTCTCCACTGCCAAAGGCAGAAGGAAGAAGTGCCGGAGGCTGATGGAGCTGGCAAAGCCCAAAACCAACTGGAAATGCTTAAGGGACAGGTGAGATCCAGGGGCAGCAAGGCAGCGGGAGCCCCAGGCCTACCAAGCTCTTCTGACCTGCTGTCACCAACCCATCACCCCCTGCCCCAGTGTCACCTCGGACATCTAGCTAGGAAAGGGGTTTTGGGGAGGCGACAGGCAGGACACACCAGAGGTGGGAGCGCTGGGGCACCATGGCCCTTGGGTGATGTTCAGAGGAGAGTGAGGAACGTGGGGGCCAGAGGGGACCCAGAGGCAAAGGTAGGGCCTGGGACCCTGTCTCATCGCAGGACAGGGTGCTGTTGTAAGGGCTATGCCTGGATCACCCCTCGAAAGAGCAACTTACAGTTTTGCCTGTACTGGTGAGTTGGGACGTCCCCTCCCTGAGTCTCCTGTCTGTGTCAGGGTCTGGTCACGCTCCAGGGCTGCCTTCTCTGCCTCTCCAGGGACCAAGTTCTTGGGGGGATGGGGGGAGTTTCTTGGATGGGAGTTCTCTCATCCCAGGGCTGTCCTGCCTCCACGCTCCCTCTATGGACTCGGGCTGCTGAGCAGCATCTGTGCCCAACTCTTCAAGCCACTCATCTTGGAATATCAGCCCTGTTCTACACAACTGACCCTGTGCTCTGTGTCCTTCCTAACCCAACCTTCTACGCTCTTATATTCCATTTTCCTCAAGCCACCCTTCCTTGGGTTCCAGGTTTCCCTTCCCCAGCAGGGCACAGGGCACAGGGCACAGGGCACCCAGCGCTTTACTACCCGGCTATATTCCAGGCCCTCTGTGTACTGGACCGAGCGATTTCTCGAGGATACCACCCTGACCGTCACAGTCCCTGGTAGGTGCCCATCTCTCTGGGGCAGCCTGGGTGTCCTCTGCCTGACCTGGGGAACTGGTGGCTCCATTCAGTGTGTGGTCACTGGTGTCACTTCCCTAGTCCAACCTCACTTCCACCAGGACCCCAGCCCTCCCTCTTCTCCTCTACCAGTCCCCAGTGGCTAGAACCCTGAGGGATACAGGGAAGATTCCCCAGGGCAAGTCTGCAGAAGGCTAGTGTTCTGTTTTGTTTGTTTTGGTCTTTTTGAGTTAGGGTCTTCTTGTAGCCTCAGCTAGCCTGGAACTCACTATGTAGCCCAGGCTGGCCTTGATCTTATTGAGATCCATCTGCCTCTGCCTCCCAAGTGCTGGGACTAAAGACAAGTGTCACCACACCCAGCTAGTATTTGTTTGATAAAGACACCTGACTCCTTCCCAAAAGTGACATCTATGAGCCTTTCCTGGAGCTCCTGCCTCACTAGTAACTGCCCCCCAGCCCTTCCTGCCACTGGAGCACTGGAAATCCTAGGCTAGTACCAACTTCAGACTAGAACCCAGTTTCTCCAGCCTGTTGTGGGAGGAGCCACACTGCTGTCTGGTGTACTAGCCCATTGTCCCTACAACAGGGTTACTGAGGACACCTCTTGCCAAGGTGTCTGATTGAGTTCAACCTGTTACCCCCTCCCTCCTCCCCCAGAGCTCAGCATGTTGAACCCCCAGGGCAGAGGGTGGTTTACACCCTGGGGCACTTTGCCCTGGTAACTGGGCTGTTTTTGTTCTATTCAGAGGTGTCCTGCCGAGTGGAGGAGTTGTCAAGGCCCAAGAGGTTCTACTTGGAGTATTACAATAATAACAGGTGAGGGAGGAGGGTAGGTGGACCCTCTATGGCACAGAGCCTCATCCTGTCCCTTCCCTGGATGTGATTAGGGACTTGAGTCACTTGAGCTCCAGCCAATGCCCCATGGGTGTTTGACCTCAGCTCCCTAACCCCACCCATAAAACGGGGGTTGAGGGATGGCACATAGGTGCCTGACATCTCTCCTGTCACCTGGACACTCATGCTTGCTGTACACAGTCCTCAGAGCCTCTCACACAGTTTTATCATGTCTTTGCATGCCAGGGAAGACAGGTCCTCAACAAGAGGCAGCACTGTAGAATGGGAGGTTCTTCGCACCTGCGTTTGTGCTGTGGCAGTTTATACCAGTGTCGTAATCTGAGCAGAAGGAAGCTAAAATCACTGTCACCTGTAGGCAGGATATATGTGGCACTTGAGTGGATTTCAGCATGAGCAGCTGCTTTAAGTGTGCAGGGTGTGGACAGCCCTTGGACATTACACCTGAACTGCATTCCAGCCTCTGGTGGCTAATGGGAGGGTTGGTTTGAGCAATATGTTTTGATCCTGGCTTGCCACGGAATTCTTTTGTTTTTGTCTTTTGTGTTTTTGTTTTGGGATGGGGTCTCACTGTGTAGCCCTGATTGGCCTGAAACTCACTATGGAGACCAGGCTGGCTTTATCTCACAGAGACCCACCTGCCTCTGCCTCCCTAATGTTGGGATTAAAGGTGTGCACCATCATGTCTAGCAAAATGCTCGTCAAACCATTTATATCAAAGAATGCTTAATTTGCCTTTTCTTTTTAGATTTTATTTTTTTTAATTATATGTACATATATGTACGTATCTATCTGGGGGTATTTGCACCATGTGAGTACAGTAGTGGGGAGGTGGGAAGAGGGCATTGGATCCCCTGGAGCTGGAGTTACAGGCAGTTGTGAGCCACCATGTGGGTGCTGGGAACCAAACTCGGGTCCTCTGCAAGAGCAGTACACACTCTTTCGGTGTCTCTCCCTCCCCTCGTGGGTCGTTGGCCACTGGTCCACGAGGACAAAGGGAACAGAAGCAAAGGGAGCAGAAGTGAGGAATGGGTTCAGGACGGCCAGTGAACACAACGAAAGAAAGCCCTTCCCGTGAGGCAGATTCAGTGATACAGCTCCGTTTATTCAGTGGGGCTTAGGGAAAATAGAGTGTGGAGGCAGTAGCCAAAGCCTCAGCTGATAGGTGCTCATAGTATGCTTTATTTACATGTGGTAGGGGGATCCTATCATCCAGCTACAGGGCAATGCCTAATTATCATATAGCAAAAACCTGGGGGCAGTTTTATTGCAGATAACTATGCCAAAAGTCATGTTCCAAATAAGGTCAGGCATCCGTGCTTGACAGCACTTTGGGTCCCCCAACAACTCTTAACAGGAAGCTGCATTTGCTCCTTAACCTGATACAGCTGGGACTTGGTTTTTGGAGCTGGGGGCCTTCTAAGCTCAGGGTAGTTTTTTATGGCATCTACAGGACACTTTACCTTGGGTCCTCATCAGGGTTCTTTTGGGGTGTGGGGAACAGATCTGTTGCCACACAGAAAGTTAGAGAAGGGCACCCAAGGGCCCTGCATTTGGGCTGGACACCCAGGAGGGGCCGACTCTGTCTGGAGATGGGGAGACCTGTCTTGGTCTTCATTGAATCTTTTTGACCTTGAAGAAATTCCCTAGCCCCGGGTCCTCAGGCCCCGGTCATCTGAGAAACAGTCTGAAAAAAACAGCAGACATGCAGTTAGTCGCTCACACCCCTCAGGATGCGGGCTGGTGACTGAATTCTGGGTTCCCCTTAGGACCACACCCGTCTGGCCCATCCCTCGGTCCACTTTGGAATACCAAGCATCTAACCGACTGAAGCAACTGGCTACTCCGAAGGTCCGCAATAGTATTTGGAGTATAGACATGTCTGAGGTAGGTAGAGTTGGCCACACCCCCAAGTGGGCGGGATTGTGGGCATAGCCAATGAGGCAGCCTTTGGGCATGGAAGAAGGAGCGGGGAGGGTGCAGCCTCTTCGGCAGGCTGGTTCGCTGGTTCGTCTAGGAAACAGTGCTTCCCTCTCCCCTGAGCTGTTCAGCCTTCCCTACCCTCTGTGATGCGCCTTGGATCCCATGGTTTCCTGCTGACACCCAGGAATCACAGCGTCCTCACATCAGGGTCTAGTCTTGGACTGGGGTGTGGCTTCATGATGGAGTGACACCACCCAAGAGGACATGACCCAGCTCTCTGTGTGGTCACCCAGACCCTGCTTTTTATAATTTTTAAAAAACATTTATTATTTATTTATTTATTTATTTATTTATTTATTTATTTATTTTGAGACAGGGTCTCCATGTAGCCCCTGCCTCCCAAGAGCTGGGATTAAACTACCATGCCTGGCCTAGTTTGGGAGTTTTTTGATACACAGTCTTCCTGTAGCCACAGCTGGCCGAGAACCATGTAGACCAGGCTGACTTTGAATTTGGAGAGATGTGCCTGCCTCTGCCTCCTGAGGGCTGGCATTAAAGGCATGCACCATCATGCCTGTCTTTTTTTTTTAATTTAAAGCAAGTCAGGTATTGAGGTGCCTGCGTATCATCCCAGCATTTGGTAGAATCAGTTTGGGCAGTGTTCAGTATTCTACAATGAGTGAAATAAGAAGTTGAAACCAAAAAAACAAAAGAATCAGGAGTTTAAAGCCATCCTCAGTTACCTAGCAAATGCAAAACCAATCTGGCCTATATGAGACCCTGTCTCAAAAACATTAAATAAACTCCAAACAGCATACCATCTCTCTCATAACACTTCAACATGTATTTTTTTTAATTTTATTTTTTTATTTTATGTGTATGCGTGTATTGCTGCATACAGGTAAGTGCACCTGTGTCATGCATGCCCGCGGAGGTCAGAAGAGGCTGTCAGATCCCCTGGGACTGGAGTTACGGACAGTTGTCAGCTGCCATGTGGGTGCTGGGATTCGAACCCAGGTCTTCTGCAAGAACAACCTGTGTTCTTAACCGCTGAGCCATCTCTCCAGCCCCTCAACATGTACTTTTAATAGACCAAGCAAAATTTAAAACAGAACAAACACCACACTAAAAAATTAATTCTGCCAGGCATGGTGGCACACGCCTTTAATCCCAGCACTCGGTAGGCAGAGGCAGGCAGATCTCTATGAGTTCAAGGCCAGCCTGGTCTACATAGTGAATTCCAGGACAGCTGGGGCTATAGAGAGACCCTGTCTCAAAAAACAAACAAAAAAGGCCAAAAAAAAATTTAGTTCCTTAGCATTCAAACCCTTTGCCCATACTGAATTCACACCTTTTCTCAGAGAGAGTTTTTTAATTTGACTTCAAATGAGAATATGGTTTTTCCAACCCACTGCAATCTGCCTGCCCCATAGGTACACACAGAGCTGCACCCACCCCACTTCCTGCCTGAGGCCTTTGAGAACATCTTCCCATCCACACAGACCTGAACATGCCAGACCCACCAGTACAGGCCAAATCTCTGCCTATACTCCTGTCATTTCCTACCCATCATGCAGCTTGCTGTATGAATGGCTTGTCAGCACACCAGCCTCCCTCTTCCTCCAGCCCCAGTGCCCCCTTCATCTTCTCCTCGGCATCCCCTCCATGATTTCCCTCCATCTTCTACTTCAGCATCCCCTTCATGGTTCCCCTCCATTTTCCTACCTCAACTGGGCCCTCATGGCTTTTCGATGTTCTCACTGCAGCAGCCCCTCATTTTCCCCTATCCTTTCCACCATAGACAGCTCACTCTGTCCCCATCTTCATATTTATCCATCAGTTTTGTTTCAATATTGGTAAATGACATCCAGTCTTCCTACCTCTCCTCTGGTATTTATTCACAGAGCAACCCATGAGTTCATTTAGAAAGATTGTAGTTGCTACACCACATTAATCAAATGAATTTGGTATGGTTCACATGCTGGATTCACCTGTGTGCTGTGGTCAACAATCCCAGAGCTGTGAGCTTAGTTCCCACCGCACACATTGCCCTCAAAGCAGTGCACTATTACTCTGTATATGGGGGAGTATATGGGGTCCGTATACAGGGGTCTCTGCTCCCATGTCTTTGCCAGGACTCTTTCCATTTTCCTAAGTTTGTGGGGATGAAATGAATGATATTTTGATTTATCTTTCTTTTATTTATGTTTTTTATCTTTTTTGAGACAGGGATTCCTTGTAGCCCTAGCTGTCCTGGAACTCACTATGTAGAACAGGCTGGCCTCGAATTCACAAAGATCCGCCTGCCTCTGCCTCCCGAGTGAGTGCTGGGATTAAAGGTGTGCACCACCATACCTCGCCTTTCTTTTGTTTTTTTTTGAGATAGGGTCTCATTATGTAGCACTGGCTGGTCTGTAACTTGCTATATAGCCCAGGCTGGCTTCAGACTCACAGAAATCCATCTGTCTCTGCCTCCTGAGTGCTGGGATTAAAAGTGTGTACCACCACACCTATTATTGTCTTTGATATTCATTTTCAATATTTTATTTTCATTTATGTGTACAAATGTATTGCCTGCATGTATGTAAGTATGTGTCATACAGTGCCTGAGGAGGTCAGAAGAGGGCACAGGAGCCCCTGGAACTAGAGTTACAGATGATTGTTAGCTGCCATGTGGGTAATGGTATTCAAACTCCAATTCTCTGCAAGAGTAGCCAGTGCTCTTAACCACTGAGCTTTCTCTCCAGTCTGATACTTTGTTTTTAAATTTACATTTCTCTAGTCAGCTGAAAGAATTGCCAAGTAGTGGTCTCCTGGAAGTCTTTCTGTTGTTATATTTTATTTATTTTTATTTTATGTGTATAAATGTGTGCCCACATGTATGTATGTACACCATGTGTATGCAATGCCCAAGGAGGCCAGAAGGAGGTGTTGGATCCCCTGGAACTGAGGTTATAGACACTTGTGAGCCACCATGTGGGTGCTGAGAATCAAACCTAGGTTCTCTGCAAGAGCAACCAGTGCTCTTAACTGCTGAGCCATCTCTCCAACCCCATCGCCTGGATTTCTTTATATTCAATAGCTACTAATCTTTGCTGAACACATTGCAAACTGACTTCTCTGAGTCAGTCAGGGTCTTCCTGCTCCAAGGCCTGTGAGCAACCGTGGACTACTCACTCTTTCCCCTCCATTCCTGTTTCCAGGTGTCTCGGGTGTCCAGAGCAGCCCAGATGGCAGTTGCCACCCCAAGGATCCTCCAGCTGGCCAAACCCAGACCCCCAGCCACTCTGTTGGAAGAGTGGGATCCCATGCCAAAACCCAAGCCTGTAGTGTCAGACTACAAACGCCTCCTTCAGCTGGCAAGTGAGTGGATACCCTTATGGATGTGGGGATGAGTGAGATGGGTTTGAGACCTCTTCCTGCTAGGTGTGTGTTCCCTTCCTTCATCTCCCTCAGCTGTAGGCCAGCTGTCTGAATCTTGGGCTGTCTTGGAGGAGATAACGGAGGGCACTGGTGGGGAACGTAGGCACAGGAGATGATGCTGAGGGCAGGCACCAGGCAAATTAGGCTGAGTTGTGAGGGTGGTTTTTGAACAATTGTTTGCTCTGTCCCTCTCTGTGCTTAAATGGAAAAGACAGATGAGCCAAAAGCCACATGCCACACACATAGTGGTTAGGCAAGCGTGCATGGTGAAGCCCATGAGAGCAGGTTTACATGTCTCTTCCAGGCTCTTCACCAAGAGTTACAAGTTCCTTTCTACTCTCACCCCACGTTGACCAGGCCAGAACCCAGTGGGCTCTGCCTTTAGCACACTGGACCCTCCATGACCCCCTCCTCTTGCACACAGCCACCGGCGGATCTCTGTGACCTTGATCGGGTGTCATCCGTCTTCTCAGCCCCAGAGCTCTCCTTCCTGTGTCCTTCCAGTGCCCTGTCCACCTCAGGTGGAGTAGTCCACACATTGTTTGTGCATGGCACCATGTCCTGTGAGTGAAGTGTGTCTGATGCTGGTGTGTATCTTTTTAAAGGTTTTATTTTATGTGTACAAGTATGTAAGTGCACTATCTACAGAGGCCTGAAGAGGGTGTTGGAGCCTCTGGAATTGGAGTTACAGATGGCTGTTAGCCACCATGTGGGTGCTGGGAATCTAACCTTGGTCCTCTGCAACGGCAGCCAGAGCTCTTAACTGCTCAGCTGGCTCTCTGTCCCCCTGTTTCTTTGTTGCATGTTGTCCACTGTGTGCTGAACCTGAGAGGCCATCAAGCTTACAGAGTCACTGTGGCTGCCAGAGCAGTTGGCTGACAATTTGGGTTTAGTGTTCTCTGTTCCTTTCCCCGCTGTCTCCTTCCTGAGTTTTAGTTTATATTCGGAGCTGCTCTTTATGTAAGTTGGTTACTAATCCTTTGTCACGCTCACTGACTTCTTCCAGTCTGTGCCTTGCTTTTTATTTTTTTAGAAGGGTTTATTTATGTGTATGTGTGTCTGCATGTATGTATGTGCACCACATGCATACAGTGCCCACAGAGGTCAGAAGAGGGCATTGGAGCCCCTGAAACTAGAGTTACAAGTGGTTGTTAGCCACCATGTGAGTGCTGGGAACTGAACCCCGGTCCTCTAAAAGAGCAGCCACCACTCTTACCTGCTGAGCCAGCTCTCTTGCCCCACAATTCACCCTCTTAAAGGGTGGTTTTCAATATCTTCACAAAGATGTCCAGTTATTACCCCTAACCAGTTCCAGAACATCCCATCACCACAAAAGGAAGCCATGTCCTCATGAGCAGTTACTTGGTCCTCTCTCCAGTTCCTGGCACCCATGACTCTACTTCCTGTTTCTGAATTCTCCTGCTCTGGAAATTTCCTGTCATGGAATCCCACACTGTGTGGTCTTTTGTGTCTGGGTCTCTTACTGAATACAATGTCCTAGGGTCCCTCCACACTGTGGCATATGTTGGATCCTTGCTCTTGTTCATGGCTGTGTGATACTCCTATGTGAATGCACACAAGGATGTCATGTACATGCACCACACAATTTCTGTCATCCCTCTGTTGATGGACAGACCCAGGTTTGGTGCTTTGCTTGAGAAGTGTGAACGGGACACTGTCTGTCTCTTCTGTCCTCTAGTGCCGAAGGCCGTGTCAGAAAAGTGTGTTCTGGACCGCAGTCCTCAATGGGAGGTACTGGATGTTACTAAGAAAGCGGTGGCCACTTCTCGGATCATCTCCCTGGCTCAGCCCAAAATACGCAAAGACTTCAATGAGGGTTACGATCCATACTACATCTCCCCAGCCTCCTTGGTGGCTCAGGCGACCCCACGCCTCTATGAACTTGCCACCCCCAAATACATCGTCAAGAAAGTGTGACAGCTGGGCCTGACCTCCAGCCTGCCCCCAGTAAACACCCAAGTACATCCTTGCCTGTGTGCCTAATTTGCTCTGTGGCTCAGTTGGGGGGGGGGGCAGAGTCGCTAAAGTCCAGAACAATAATAATGTTATTTTCCCATCCTATCTGTGATTTGTGCGGCCCTTTTATTTCCCAAGTCCCCCCTTCCCTGTTCAGTGAGGCTGAGGCCTCAGGCCCTTCTCATTCCAAGTCTCTGAAACCCAGACTATCAGCTGGCCACCTCCCAGGTCAGCAAGCTCAGGACAGCATCCGCAGTAAGCCCACCAGCCATGCCCTTAGGCTTACTGGTCCCTGCAGTGACTGTCAGAGGGAGGATGCTCCCCTGAGGGGTTCCTGCCATGGTCTTCAACTTCATGGTTGGAATTGTCACTCCAAGGTTACAATGTCAGAAGGGAGGTTTGGGAGGCAGTGAGGTCATGAAGATAATGAAAGAGATCCCAGCCCCCTTCTGTCACGTCAGGACACAGCATAGGGCTGGAAGGAGGACTTTGTCAGGACCTGACCACATGGTTCCAGAGCTGTGAGAAAGACTTCTGTCCACCAGGCCCTGGGATTTGGGCAGCCTGTCACCCCATTATCTATCAGTCCCTGGGACAGGGGCAGCTTGTTACCCAGCACAAACAAACTGAGCAGGTGCTATGTTCCTAGCAAATGAGCAACAGATTCTGTCATCTTGGTTTGTGGTGAGCAGCTGACAGGGATCTCTGAGTCAATCAGGTGGGGCAGATCCTGGGAGCACCGTGTCCCACCATCCCAGATCCCCACCAGGCCCCATCCTCCCTCCTTGGAGACAGCAGCTCAGCATTTTCCAGTCTCTGTGAGGAGAACCCTGAGGTGACTCCTGGCCACGGATAATCCAGGCCAGGATGGTTCCAGTTCAGGGTCTTTCACTTGGCTTAGAGAAAGTAAGATGTGTTGGGAGAGACTGCTCAGTGTCGAGGAGCACTGGCTGTTCTTTTTTTAAATCTTTTTTTGGTCTTTTTGAGGCAGGGTCTCCCTGCTAGGATTAAAGGCGTGTGCCGCCATACCCAGCTCCATCAGATTCTTTTACTTCTTGTTATTTACTCTCCCTCTTTCACACATTCCTTTTTGCTTCTAATTTTTGTTTTTCAATTAAAAACTTTTTTTTGAGACTGGGTCTCACTGTGTAGCCCTGTGTGGGTGCTGGGACCTGAAGCTGCGTCCTCTGCAAGAGCCAATGCTCTTAACCCCCGAGTTGTCTCTCCAGCCCCCATTTAATGTTTTAAAGTTGAAAAGGCATATTATTTACAGTCTAACAATTCATCCCTCACCCTCTTAAGTGTTTGTCCCAGAAAACTATTGTACACACTGTGAGGAAACACAGCTGTCACTAAAATCGTGAAGACGAGGTAGACAGCACTGACAGTTCAGAATGACAGCCACAGTGGAGCTCATGATCCAAAAGAAATCAAGAAAGCCAGGCACGGCATCACACACCATTAATCCCAGCACTTGGGAGGCAGGTGAGATCTGTGAAATCAAAGCCAGCCTGGCTACACAGTGAGTTCCAGGCTAGCCAGGATTACACAGTGAGACCCTGTGGAAAGAAAGAAAAAGAAACAGAATTGCTCTAGTTATCTGATGGATTGATGGATGACAGGAAGTTAGGAGGAAGTGGGAGGGGCCAGCATTGGCCCAGAGATGCTATAGGAACTGAGTGGGTGGGTGGCTGTGGATGGCCAGATCCAGTGGGCTCTGGACAAGCTTTGAAGTCAAAATTACTAGATTATCTCCTCATGGTGGGTGGGAAGGGATGGAACACAGAGGGAGGGGACAGGGTATGAACACCTGTCATCTAAGCACTTGGGAGATTGAGGCAGGGAGACTGCTGACTACAGGGAGACTGTAGGCTTGGACTACACAGTGAGACTGTCTGAAAAACAAACACTTGCTTTTAATTCCAGGACTGGGGATGCAGGGGTAAACAGCCAATCTCTGGCTAGTCTGGTCTACATAGTGAGTTGCAAGCTAGCTATGGCTACATAGTGAGACCTTGTCTAGAAACAGACGAGGAAGGCTGAAGACTGAACAAGAGATGGCAGATGGCTTTATGTGAGAGATGCTGAGGAAGGTGTGTGTGCTCGGGTCCCAAAGGTGACAGGACAGTTTGTGAAGGTATATTCACATCCTGGGGCTGGGGTGGGGTGTCGTTCTTTCTCAGAGCACCAGGCACAGGTGTGCAGGCTAGAGGCAGGAGGCTGCAGCTTGGCCTGAAACCTGGGGAAAAAAGGTGTGTGAGGCTGAGTGAGGAACTTGCAGTAAGGGACCCTTCAACGATGGAACTGCCTGGAACTAGCTGGTACTGGCTGGAACTGGCAGTGATGTGGGGAGGGGGCAGTCACTGCATTCGTCCCTCATAGCCACAGAAGACAAAAGGCTCACTCTGCAGCCAGAGTTCCTACCATGATTGGGGGTAGCTTGTCATATAAACCTCCTAACACTGGTCACTATCTGGGCCACCTGTTCAGAACTGAGAGTCTGAAGAGTTTGGTCTGTATAAACATACTGTAGATGAAATGAAACTTGTAAAACAACCCCCCAAAACCTACCACAGCTTTTTTTTCTGTCTTTTTAAGACAGGGTCTCTCTGTAGCCCCAGCTGGCCTGGAACTCACCATGTAGACCAGACTGGCCTTGAAGTTACAAAGATCTGCCTGGCTCTGCCTTCTGAGTGCTGGGATCAAAGGTGTGTGCCACCATGCCTGGCTAGATTTTAATTAATTAATTAATTAATTTTTGTCTTTTTGAGACAGGGTTTCCCTGTAGTCCCAGCTGTCCTGGAACTCGCTATGTAGACCAGGCTGGCCTCGAACTCAAAGATCCGCCTGCCTCTGCCTCCCAAGTGCTGGGATTAAAGGCATATGCTACCATACCCCGTGATTTTATTTATGTTATGTGTATGAGTGTCTTGTGTGTATGTATGTAAGAGCACCATATGTATGCAGTACCTTTGGAGGTCAGAAGAGGGCATCAGATCCCCTGGAACTGGAGTTATGGATGATTGTTAGCCTCCATGTGGATGCTGAGAACCTAATCCAGGTCCTCTGCAAGTGCAGCCAGTGCTCTTAACTGCTAGCCATCTCTCCAGCCACATAACAACTTAAATAAATGAAGGAAGCAGTTGCCTGAACATGTAAACTCACAAAGTAGGGACCCGAGTTCACAGCTGTGGAAAGAGCAAAGGAGACAACTGTGAGGTCTCAGTGCCTAGGAGATTGAAGTAGAAGCAGCAGCAGCTGACAGAGGGGAGCAGACTGTACCAAAGACGGCAGGAAGAGACAGGTCATCCTAAAGGATGGGGAGACCCAGATAGGCCCAAATAACAAGATGACACATTTAGCATACTCAAAGCAGAGAGGCAAAATGACAGAATAGGAAATACTATTTTAATTTTTTTTTTCTTTTTGAGATAGGGGGTCTCACTATGTGGCTCAGGCTGGCCTTGAACTCACAGAGATACACCTGTCTCTGTTTCCTAAGTATTGTATTTAAAGGTGTGAGCTACCATGTCTGGTTTTATTTAAATTTATAATTTAAGAAAACTACCTGGGGGCTGGGCATGGTGTTGCACACCTTTGATCCCAGCACTCTGGTGGCTGAGGCAGGTAGATCTCTGTGATATCCCACCCAGCCTGGGCTACATAGGGAGTTCCAGGCCAGCTGGGGCTACATAGTGCAAAATGAAAAACAAAACAACAAGGAAAAAAAAAAAAAGAAAACTACTGAGAAGCCAATCAGGTTAGTGCCACACAGGGTAGCACTAGGCAGGGTAGGGCATGCTTATAATTCTAGTACTTGGGGGCTGGAGAGATGGCTCAGCGGTTAAGAACACTGTTCTTGCAGAAGACCCAGGTTCGAATCACAGCACCCACATGGCAGCTAACAATTGTCCATAACTCCAGATCCAGGGGATCCGACAGCCTTTTCTGTCCTCCGTGGGCATTGCACGACTTACCTATGTGCAGGCAATACATGAATACACATAAAATAAAAATAACAAAATATTTTAAAATAATTCTAGTACTCAAGAAGCTATGACAGAAAGATTGGAAGTTCAAAGCCAGCTTGAGCAACTTGATAGTGCAAACTAAAAAGTGAAATATGCTTGGAAGTGAGGCTCAGTAGTAGAGCCCCTGACTAGACTCTCCCAGTGTGGGTCTGGGGGTATGGCTCAGGGGCAGACAACTTAGAATCCCCCTCTCAGTGAGGATGACTGGCTGCTCTTGCAGAGGACATGGGTTCAGTCCCCAGCACCCACATGGGGCCTGTCTTTAACTCTAGTTCCAGAGGATCTGATGCCAGAAAGAATTATAGCACTAGTCAGGCTCTTGCTAAGCAATCTTGGCTGTCCTGGAACTCACTATATAGTCCAGGCTGGAACTCGGACAGATCCACTTGCTCCTGCCTCCTGGGTGCTGGGATCAAAGGTGTGTGCCACCATGCCCAGACTTTGTTTCTATTTTTATTTTATTTTATTTTTTTTGGTCTTTTTGAGACAGGGTCTCCCTGTAGCCACAGCTGGCCTGGAACACTCACTATGTATTCCAGGCTGGCCTTGAACTCATAGAGATCCACCTGCCTCTGCCTCCTGAGTGCTGGGATTAAAGGCGTGCACCACCACGCCTGGCTATAAATATATATATATTTTTTGGGGGGGGGCGGGGTCTTTTTGAGACAGGGTCTCCCTGTAGCCCCAGCTGGCCTGGATTCGCTATGGAAACTAGGCCGACCTTGAACTCTCAGAGATCCGCCTGCCTCTGCCTCCCAAGTGCTGGGATTAAATGCGTGCACCACCACGCCCGGCAAATAAAATATTTTTAAAAATAAAAGCTGGGCGTGGTGAAGCATGCCTTTAATCCTAGCACTTGGGAGGCAGGAGGAGTTCAAGGCCAGCCTGGTCTACATAGTGAGTTCCAGGCCAGCTGGAGCTACAGGGAGACCCTGTCTCAAAAAGATGAAAATTTTTTAAAATTTACTTTTATTTTATGTGCATGACTGTATTGCCTGCATATAGGTAAGTGCACCCATGTCATGCAATGCTCGAGGACAGAAGAGGCCATCGGATCCCCTGGAATTGGAGTTATGGGTAGTTGTTAGCTGCCATGTGGGTGCTAGGATTCAAACCTGGTTCTTCTGCAAGAACAACCAGTGTTCTTAACCACTGAGCCATCTCTCCAGCCCCCCAGACTTTGTTTTTAACTTTTTTTTTTTTTTTGGTCTTTTTGAGACAGGGTCTCCCTGTAGCCCCAGCTGTCCTGGAACTCACTATGTAGACCCGGCTGGCCTTAAGCTCACAGAGATCTGCCTGCCTCTGCCTCCCGAGTGCTGGGATTAAAGGCATGTGCTACCACGCCCGGCTTGTTTTTAACTTTAAAAAAAATATATTTTATTTCTTTATTGGTCTTTTTGAGACAGGGTCTCCCTGTAGCCCCAGCTGTCCTGGAACTCACTATGTAGACTAGGCTGGCCTTGAACTCACAGAGATCTCCTGCCTCTGCCTCCTGGGTGCTGGGATTAAAGGCATGAGCCACCATGCCTGGCCCAAAAATATTTTATTATATGTGTATGAGTGTATTGCCTGCATGTATGCGAGTGTACCCGTGTTGTGCAATACTGCAGAGGTCAGAAGAGGGCTTTGGATTCAGATTCCCTTGGAACTGGAGTTAAGGATGGTTTGTAGCTGCCATGTGGGTGTTGGGAATTGAACCTGGGTTCTCTGCAAGAGCAGTCAGTGCTCTTAACCGCTGAGCCATCTCTCCAGCCGTTTTTAACTTTTAATGAGCTCACTATGTAGAGCAGGCTGGCCTTGAAATCCTGACTCTCCTACCTCAGCCTCCCTAGTGCTGGAATTGCTAGTGTGTGCCACCATGCCCAGTTCCTTATTTTTTGAGACAGGGTGTGTCAAGTGACAGGGCTTAAGAAGTGACTAGACTGTCTCAGGACCTACCCACCTCCACGCCCCCAGGGCTAGATATGCATGACCACAAGCTTGGCTTTTAGTGGTGCTAGGGATCTGAATTCAGTTCCTCATGCTTGTGAGGCAGGCATTTTACTGACTGAACTACCTCCCCACCTCTGGGACACACATTTCTGTTCTTTTTCCGTGCAATGGGCTCTTGAAACTGGGTCTTACTATGTAGGCCAGGCTGTCCTTGAACTCACTATCCTCTTTTTATTTTTATTTTTGTGCACCATGTGTGTGTAGTGCCCATGGAGGCCAGAAGAGGATCCCCTAGAACTGGAGTTATGGATGGCTGTTAGCTGCAATGTGGGTGCTGGGAACTGAACCTGGATCCTCTGCAAGAGCAGCCAAGTGCCCTTAACCACTAAGCAGGCTCTCCAGCCCCAAGATGGAAGGTTTTATCTTGGAGGAAATTGCTACACCACATCCAGGCGTCACCTCAGGAGGCACAGAGTGTGTACCTGCCCTTCAGTAGTAAATCTCATGTTTGCCACTTGGCCAAAAGGTTTGCCTCAGGCCTCAGACAGAACCTTGAAGGATATTTTCTCTTTATCCTTTCATCCGTGTGTTTAACCTCTGGTGATGGGTTGATTTGGTTTTTGCTGTCTTAGTGTCCCAAGTGCTGGATTCCTAAGTGTGAGCCACCACATGGGCTTTCTCTGGTGATCCTTGTCACAGCCCTCACCTGGGAGTCAACATTGGCTGAGGCAGGCTGACTCAACCTTTCTCCTCACGCCAGGGCATTTCAGTTTCTGGGATCATTTTCTAAGCCAATTCAAGAATTAAAAGGCAGGAAAAATCCTCAGACCAGCAGGGAGCAACAGGCAAACAAACTTTCATTGAGAGATGAAGAATCACATCCATATATGTAAAGAATGACACATCTATACACACACTCATACAAAGTCCTCCAGAGTGGAGAGGGCAATCCAGAACCCCAGAATCCAAAGCCCTGAGGGAGGACGTGGGTTTTGAGGATTTTAGTGATTTTCCCACCCCTAAATTTGTATTAGTCACCTAAAAGAAGGCTGATAGGTCACATCTCCAAGCTGAGATATCCAGGGCTATATGACTTGAAGCAGGTCAGTTGAAGGGGCCTTATTGGAGTTAAAAAAAATAAGGCTTTCCATGGGGCTGGAGAAATGCCTCAGCGGTTAAGAGCACTGACTGCTCTTGCAGAGGACCTGGGTTCAATTCCCAGCACCCACATGGAAGCTAACAACCGTCTGTAACTCCAGTTCCAGGGGATTGGTACCTTCTTCTGACCTCTGTGGGCATTGCATGACACAGGTGCACTTACACACATGCAGGCAATACACTCATACACATAAAAATAAATAAAAAGAAAATAAGGCCTTCCTGTCAGACCAAGAAGTAGGAAGCATGCCATCTACAGTACTTCTCAGTGGCTCTGTTTGCTTATTAGGGATTCAGTCCTTTTCACTCAGCTCTACTCTCCAACCTGTTGAGATGTCTCAGCCTCACTTCCAGCCTTCAGCACCCAGTAGGCAGTTGTTATATATAGTGTATGTGTTTAGTTCATGGAATGAATGAGCCGGCCAACTCTTCTTTTTCTGACATCTCTCAGTATATCCTCAGAGGAGGAGTGGGGCACTAGCTGAGGGGTAGGAGGCAGACCTTCCAGGGGCGGTTCCCTCCATCCTTTGGTCTTGGGTTGGTGAATCCCTGGGGTTGGGGCACAGCATGGTAGCTCCTGCCCCAGTGGGAATGGCCATCTACTACTCACTTGTGTAGGCCAGAGGCCTTCACCTCTTTCTGCTTCAGCAAACGGTAGGACTGCCTACTGTGTGTTTCCCGAGTGCCCTGGAATCTGTCCTGAGACCTCAATCTCTTTGTGCATTCTCCCAGCATGAACAAAACCGGGTCTGTGCACCTTCCAGTTCTCCTGACCTGAATCCCATACAAGACCAGCACCTTAACCAGACCATCTCCCTCACCTCTACACCACTCCCTAATGTCATCACAGGACTGTCCCTCCTCACCTCAGCACCATCCCCTTCACCTGTGCATTCTCCCTGTCATCACTATATCATCATTATACCATCCCTACACCACAGCCCCCTGACCTGGGCACCGTCCCCCTGACCTGAGCATCATTCCACTCACCTGGGCACCTTCCCCCTGACCTGAGCATCGTCCCCCTCACCTCCCAGCTCAGCACACCTACTACGCGCCTCCTGCGGCCCCGCCCCACCCCGCCTCCCATCACCTCAGCCAATGAACACGGGGCATCGCATCCGGGGATCGCGCGCGGCCACCGCCTCCCAGTGCACACACGGCCATGGCGGAGGTGAGTGAGCGGCCCGGGAAACGGCCCCTCCCGCGCGCCCTCCCGGCTCGGCCCGGCCCGGCTCGCGCCCCGCACCCGCCCGTGCCCCGGAACCCCCCCCCCTCGGCCCGAACGCGAGCCGTCCCGCCGCCCCTCCCCCACAAGGCCACCTCCGCGCGGCGCATGCGCGGGCGGGCGGGCAGGGGGGGAGGGGCGCGGGGCCTGAGCCACGGACTGCTGGGCTGCGGGGCGCCAAACCCCGCGCGGCGCGGCCGGATCCGGGCGGTAGTGAGCGGAGGGAACCGCTGGCTAGTGGGACTGCGACGCCCGCCTCGTGCCCGGGCCGCCGGGGAGGAACAGGACGCCAACTCCGCGGCGCCCCGCAACCGCAAAGTTTCGCCGGTGGAGTTGGCCTGGCTCTGGGAGGTTGCGGGCCTCCCCGCGGCACCCGAGACCCGCGAGCAGAGCTGCCCCGGGGTGCAGCTCCTCAGCCCCGACGACCCCCGAGGGGCAGCGGCGCCGGACGTCGTCCTGCTCTACACCGGTGCGCCCGTAGGGTGCAGGCCTGCGGCGGTGCCGGGGTCTGGCTCTCTTCGACCCCTCGGGCTGGTTCTTTGCTGATCCCGGGGTCTTTAGAGCCGTCACTTTCTTGCTTGCCGGGCGTCTGGGGAAACTGAGTCCCGGTGCTGGCAAACGTCAGGCTCACTAGACATGGCAGAGTGTGCGCCGCTGCACCCCAGTTCCTTGCCTTGGGGAAACTGAGTCCTCATGAGGCAGAGCCAGGTCAGCCGATGCGCCTCTCAAGACATGGTGGCCGAGAGCGTGTTTATGGACCCTAGTTCGTTCCTAGGGGACCTTTGGGGAAACTGAGTCCTCGTGCAGCCAGAAGCCAGGTCATGTGGGCATGGTGGCTGAATTTGTGATCCTGGTTCCTTGCTTAGGAGAAACTGAGTCCTCATAAGGCAGAAGCCAGGCTCACTAGACCTGTTGGCCGAGTGTGTGCTCCTGCACTCCAGTTCCTTGCTTGGGGGTGGGGGGCTGTCGGGGGAAACTGAGTCCTCATGCAGGGAGAACCCAGGCTCACTAGATATATGGTGGCCGAGTGCATGCTCTTGGACCCCAGCTTGGCTTCTCTGGTCCTGGATGGCGTTTGGGTGGTTGAGAGGTTCACCCTGAAGGATTCACTACAAGGGTGCAGGTGTTGAACCTTTGAAGGCTCTCCAGCCTACATCCTACATCCTGGTCCCTGACCCTAAGGTTCCCGAAGGGCTCGGCCTCAGTTCCCTCGTCTAAAGTTGATGGTGGTCTCCCATAGCTCAGAGGGCCTGTGAGATCTTGATGCTGTGGCACATTGCTCTTAAAACGTGCCTGGTGTCATCTGGTAGTACTCAGTGTCAGCTGCTTGGATAGTGTGTCTCAGTGGAGGTTATTCTCTTAACTTTCTAGAAACCCATCTCTGCTGTGGGAGCCCCACGTGACTTATTCTGCTCCTAGCATAAACTGTCCCGTGCAGTTTGCCTGCACCCCCTGGGCAACTGTTGTAGTCTGCCCGTGGGGCTCCATGCGAGCTGTCCGGCCTTGTCTGGCCCCTTCAGCCTTGACCTCAGACACCATCACGGACCCCAGCTGCCCAGCTCCACCCCATTTTCTTCATGCCTTGAGTCCTCAGTACCATCCAGCTCCACCTGTTTGTTGTTCCTCAGTATTCCAGTTCCATGTGGGTGTAGGCAGGTGGAACCTGTCTCTCGGGATGCCCCAGTTGCCACAGTGGTGGTGTGAGGCTGGGCCACCAGGCTCTTCTGAGTGTGGATGGGAGTCTTGCTGTGTGGTGGGTCATCTCAGAGTTTCTGAACTCCTCAGAACCCACTGGTTCTTGGCTCCTGCAGTTCTTGGGGTTCCCACTCAACCCATCATACATTGCAGTTTGTGCATGACTGGGCCTGGAGTTAATGCAGAGGTTCCTCCCCCACTGGGCAGGCTGTGGGCTGCAAGGCTGGCCTGTGATTGCTGTGCTGCTTGGGCTTCCTTACAACATGGTGACCATGCTTCATAGGTAGAAACTGGTTGACAGCCAGGGACCCAACCTCTAAAGCCAGGCTTTGTCTCTACCACAGTCCCAGATCCTTGGGCCACGTCTCACATGGGAATAAGAGCTTGCCAGCCAGGTGCCACCCTTTCTGTGTCCAGGCCTCTGTGAGAAATCGGGGTGATGGCTTCCACAGCAACCCATTTTCACCTCTGTTCCCAAAGACCTTGATGGGACCCCCCCCCCCAAATCATCTGGTTCCCTTCTTGGGAGATAAAATTCTAGAGTGGGCTGGCTCATGAGCACAAGTCTTTAATTCCAGCACTCAGGAGGCAGACTTTGTGAGTTCGAGGTCTACATAGCGAGTTCCAGACCAAACCACACATGTGCGGGCGCAACAGACACACAGAGCAACAACAACTCTAGAGTGTTCTTTTTTTACCTGGATTACCTTCAGATGTCTGTCCCCCCCCAACCTCCCACTGCTACCCTCAGGGATATAGAGAGAGGACTGGGGGTGTTGCCAAGACTGCCAGGGGGAATACCCCAGGAAGATGAGGATGCCTCACTTGAGTACAAGGTGTGAGACACCTCCCACCTCCCTGAGCACTGTCCCTTCCCTTCCTCTGGTTCTCTGTGACTGTCTCAGCTGGACCCCCACCTGATCCAACTTCATTTGTTTTCTATTTATTTATTTATTTATTTATTTATTTATTTATTTATTTATTTATTTAATTTGTGTGTGGGCATACATGTGTGTGCTATATAGACCAGGCTGGCCTTGAACTCATAGAGATCCGCCTGCCTCTGTCTTCCGAGTGCTGGTTTTTTTTTTTGTTTTTTTGTTTTTTGAGACTGAATCTCCCTGTAGCTCCAGCTGGCCTGGAATTCTCTAGGTAGCCGAGGATGGCCTCAGTCTCAAAGCTCCCCCTTTCTCTGCCTCCTTCATGCTGGGGTTAAAGGTGTGCACCCCTATGCCCAGCTTACCTGTCCTTTGCTTTCTCACTGCCCTCTGTCCCTGTGTGTTACAACTCTGAAAGTCGACTGGGCTGTGGTTGCTCCTCACTTAGAACCTTGGGGTTTCCTGACAGGATGTAGCCTTACCAGGTGTCTACAGGTGTACACTCCCCATTGCTGCGTACCAAAGTGCAGTGTTGTTTATGTTCCCTACAGAGGGATGTGGCCGACAAGGCTCATCCGAGTCTCAAAGCCCCCATGCTTGACCTATTTGTTGTGTGTGCTTGAATAAGTGACTTGACCCCTCTGAGTTTGGCTTCCTTTACAGGTGAGCTGATTGCCTCTGAGTTTTCTCCAGGTTGTAGTGCTAGAGTGTTAGTTTTCCTTTTCTTTAATTGAATTTTTCCAAATTTCACACAATATATTTGATTGTATTTAGATCTCTCATATCTGCACACCCTTTTTACTAACCTCACACCAAATTTCTGTATATATCTATCATGGTTTGTGTCTCCAATGCCCTTCAGTGTAGGTTCATCCACTAGAGTCTGGTTAACCTACCAAGAATCTCACCCTTATTTATTTATTTTATTTGGGGGGGGGGCAGGGATAGGGTCTCCCTGTAGCACCAGCTGACCTGGAACTCCTAATGTGGACCAGGCTGACCTTGAGCTCACAGAGATCCACCTGCCTCTGCCTCCCAAGTGCTGGGATTAAAGGTGTGTTCAGAGTCCCACATCCAACTTTGTCATTGCACTGTTAAAGAGTTCTCAACTTGGGGCTGAGAGGTAGTTTAGCAGTTAAGAGCACTGGTTGCTCTTGCAGAGGACCCAGGTTCAGTTCCCACACAGCAGCTAACAACCGTCCTTAACTCCAGTTCCAGAATATCTTCTGGTTTTCGTGGGCATTGCACACATGTGGTGCATGTACACAGGTGGCAGGCAAAACATTCATATACTTAAAATTTTAAAAAAAGTTCTGAACATGCACAAACCACTTTTCCATATGCATAGTGGCGCATGCCTTTAATCAGCACTCTGGAGGCAGAGACAGGCAGATCTCTGTGATATTGAGGTCAGCCCTGTCTGCGTAGCAAGTTACAGGCCAGCTGTGACAACAGGGAGGCCCTCTCTCAACCCCCGCCACCAAAAACAATCAAAACCCTATAATAAATCAAAACCCCACAAAAAAGCTGATGTGCGCTTTGCAAATATCTGTTCCATGAGATCTGTCACACTGTATCTCTATTAAACAGGCCTTTTGTTCTGTTGCATGGAGTTGTTCAGGCGGTCAGTGGGAGAGTTTACCTTTGAAGTCTTTGTTCTGTCCCCAAGACCTGTACCTGTCTGGGGGCCAGCCCCACCCTGCTTGTGGTGCCTGGGGCTCTGTAGTGATTTCTCAGATCCTGCCCCATTTCAAAATGCCTGTGGTTCTTCTGGGTCCCTCACGTTTCTGCATGTTGTTCAGAATCAGCCTGTCAGTTTCCACAGTCCAGGCAGTGCTAGCTGTAATAGTCCCTCAAGATGATTCCCCACCCCCTGCCCTTTTTATTGGGTCTTTTTGAGACAGGGTCTCCCTGTAGTCTCAACTGACCTGAACTTGCTATGTAGACCAGGTTGGTCTCGAACTCAGAGATCCACCAGCCTCTGCCTCCCTAGTGCTGGAATTAAAGGTGTGCCCCACCATACCCGGCTTTAACCCCCCCCATCTTATGATGTGGGGTCCACATCTTATGGCAAGGGGTCTGAGCATGGCTGTTCTTTGCCTTGTGGGAGTCTTTCATCTCTGTTTACATGGCTTTGTTTAGGTGACTGCATCCCAGCACTGTTGTAAGTGGAGTCACTTTCTTTTTTAAATGGAAGCAAGTCAAACCTATGTAATACATACATTTTGGGGGGGGGGGTGTCTTTTTGAGACAGAGTCTCCCTGTAGCCCCAGCTGACCTGGAACTCACAATGTAGATCAGGCTGGCCTGAACTCACAGAGATCCCCCTGCCTCTGCCTCTCGAGTGCTGAGATTGAAGGTGTGTGCTACCATCCCTGGCCCATAATGTTCTGTTATTTAAAAAAATTGTTTTGGATTTATTTTACTTGTACAAGTGTTTGCCTGCATGTAAGCACACCCATGTTCTGCAGTGTCTGTGGAGGCCAGAAGAGAGCATCAAGTCCCCTGGAACTGGAGTTACAGACAGTTGTTAGTTGCCATTTGGGTGCTGGGAACCGAACCAGGGTCCTCTGCAAGAGCAGCCAGTGCTCTTAACTGCTGTGCTGGCTGCTCTGGATTCTGGAGTCACTTTCTTAATCTTGGAGAAGTCTGATGCTGCTGTGAGAACAAGATGAATTTTGGCAAACTCAAAGTTACTGGGGAAGAGGTGTCTGCCCTCCATCCCATTTCATTCTCTTGCAACTAATTGGTTGTCCGGGACCAGGTTGGAAGAAGTGAGGGAGGACACAGATGGGGAAGAGATGTGCCCGGGCCTCTGCCCTTCGCCAGGCATCATGTCTCCATCCTGGGTTTATAGACTCAGCCTTGTTCAACCATAGCCTCCATTTCTGGAGCCCTAGAGATTCTGGCACCTGAGAGTCTGCTGCTCTTTGGATTTGCCTGTTTTCTCCTTTTCTGTCCATAGGGTCACAACTGTATTGTTTTATATCTGGGTTTGTGGCTGAACCTCATGTCTCAAGGTCCCTTCACACTGTAGCTGAGGTTGGATTGTCTCAGCACTGAGTCCCCTGCCGCCCTCAAGGTTACCAGGGGGCCAAGTTCAAATAGCTGCCATGAATTTTTTTTTTTTTTTTTTTTATTAATGGGGCTGGAGAGCTGGCTCAGTGGTTAACAGCACGGGCTGCTCTTGCAGAAGACGTGGGTTCAGTTCCCAGCACCCACATGGTGGCTAACAACTGTCTATAACTGCAGTTCTAAGGGGATCTGATGCTGTCTTCTGGTGTCTGTGGGCATTGCATGACATGGGTGCACTTACATACATGGAGGTAAAACACACACTTAAAAATAAATTAAGAAAATATCTACCGTGCTAAGGTCCACAGGTGGGTTCTGGCTGACTCAGCCCTGTCTTCCTCTGCAGGCCTCCTCGCTGGAGAGGCAGAGTCCTTGTGTGGCCTCCTGCCTTGCACATAGCTTGTGTCCCCGGGAGCCCAGCTTGCAGACCACTGCAGGTACTGTCCTGGCCTTCTGCCTTGGTCCTTCCCAATGTGGCTGAGCAGGGTGGGTACAGTGACCAACCCTAGAGTCCAGGGAGGCGCAACCCCCCCCCCCAGGAGTCAGTGTGCACAGTGGTCAGGACACTCCCTGTCCCTAGAGCTATGGAGAGGTGGCTGGCTAAAGGGAAATGGCCAAGAAGGCCCCTTCCTGAGTTGGAGCTTGCCTGATGGCCTTATGGTTCCCAGCTGAGGGTGAAGTAATACAGGTTTCTATCACCATGAGCAGCACAGGGAGACTGCTATACTTAGGAGACCCCCTATACCTACTCCTATCCAGTCTACTCACCCTCCAGTTCCACCTCTACCCTGTTCATGCGGCCCCATACCCACCCCATTCAGTCCATGCACCCCCATACCTCTTCCATTCAGTTCACTCTAGAGCCTACCCCATCCAGTCCACATGCCCCCCATCCCTCTCCCCATCCAGTCCACCCCAGAGCCACCCCCATATGGGCCACACGCCCCTCCTCACCCACCCATCAGGCCTTTGCTTGCCTGCAGCCCATGCCAGCACCTCCATTATGCACTTCCTTTTAGTACCTGTTAGTCCTGAGTCCTCTGGGGTCCTTGCTGGAGTTTGACCCATCTGAGTGACCAGTGTACATGGGACACAGCAAGATCCCCTTCTTATGGTAGGGCCAGGACTTGCTCACCTACCTGAGTCTTTTCCACAGTGGTGTCCATGGGCTCTGCAGACCATCAGTTTAACATCACTGAGATCCTGTCACAGAACTACAGCCTGAGGGAGGGTTGTGTGGAGGCCTCTCGGTGCTCCAACAAACCTGAGGAGGAACTGGACAAGGACTTCATCTCGCAGGTACTGTGACCACCACTCACTTTGCTCTCCTTAGGGAACATATTATCTGGCCCTGGGCACACACAGTTTGCAATGAGCCATGGTTGGTCCCCAGCCTTGCCACACAGTACTGTCCACAGCATGCTGGAGCCACTGGCCTTAGGGCCTGCTCTGCACCCCAACTGCCACTCAAGGCTGGTGGCGGACTACAGGCTCTTTAGTCTGAGATCCCATTTGGCTTTTTTTTTTTTTTTTTTAAGTCTTAATTATTTTTATTTTATGTGTATGTATTTATTGCCTGCATGTAGGTAAGTGTACCCGTGTCATGCAGTGCCTATGGAGGACAGAAAAGGCTGTTGGATCCCCTGGAACTGGAATTACGGACAGTTGTTAGCAGCCATGTGGGTGCTGGGATTCGAACCCAGGTCTTCTGCAAGAACAACCAGTGTTCTTAACCGCTGAGCCATCTTACCAGCCCCCATTTGGCTTCTTTTTATGTGTATGAGTGTTTGCCTACCTGTATGTAAGTGCACCCATGTTGTGCAATGCCCACAGATGTCAAAAGAGGGCATTGGATCCCCTGGAACTGGAGTTACAGATGGTTGTTTGCCACCATGTGGGTGCTGGAAACCAAATCCAGGTCCTCTGCAAGAGCAGCCAGTGCTCTAAACTAGTAAGCCAGCTCTCCAGCCCCACATCTGACTTCTTGGCAGTTCTGTCAGACCTGTGAAAGGTCTCCCTTCTATAGCATTACCTAGTCAAGTGGTAAACTGATAGCTTCACCAGCCACCCTTCCAAACAGAAGAGGAGCTCCTGTCCAGCAGTACCACATGGTTCCATACCAAGGGCAAGGTTTTCTAAAGCAGCTGCATGTCCTGGGGTCACCATGGGGACCACCTCTCCCACACTTGGTACAATGCCCAGCATGAATTGGCTGCTTTGCCCTTCAGGTCTAGATGGGCAGGGCCAGGGAGGTTCTTCTGTGGTTAGAAGTCCTTGGGTGAATCAGGTAGGAGTTTGGGTACCAAGGAATGGGGGCTTGGGGGGGGCAGACTGGGAGCTGAATCTGAAGAGGGGCTCACACTGGCAGAGATGCCAGGGAGGGAGTGGGATCAAATCCTTTCTGTTTAGCTGCTGCGTGGCCCCAGCATACAGCTCTGCATTTGCCAGCACTCCAGTGTGATGCATCTGTTTACCTAATTTCCTGAGTTGAGTTTTTCTTCAGTCAGAAGTGGGTGTTGGGCTTTCTTTCCCTTTGGCTTGCTTGTTTCATGGCACACATCAGGATATGCTATGCTCTGGGACTTTCTCTCAAAGCTTGGGGAGGGCTGAACATGGTGGCACTCGCCTATAATCCCAGCACTTGGGAGGCAGAGGCAGATGAATCTCTGTAAGATCAAGGCCAACCTGGTCTACGTAGTGAATTCTAGGCCTGCTGGGGCTACAGGGAGACCATGTCTTAAACAGTGATTTTGAGGGGCTGGAGAGATGCCTCAGTGGTTAAGAACACTGGTTGTTGTTGCAGAAGACCCGGGTTTGAATCCCAGCACCCACATGGCAGCTAACAACTGTCCATAACTCCAGTCCCAGGGGATCTGACAGCCTCTTCTGACCTCTGCGGGCATTGCACAACACGGGTGCACTTACCTACATGCAGGCAGGCAATACACACATACACATAAAATAAAAATGATAGCCCAGCGTGGTGGCACACGCCTTTAATCCCAGAGGCAGGTGGATCTCTGTGAGTTCAAGGCCAGCCTGGTCTACATAGTGAGTTCCAGGACAGCTGGGGCTACAGGGAAACCCTGTCTCAAAAAAGACCTCCCCCCAAAAAGATTTTTGAGCTGGGTGTGGTGGGGTACCCCTTTAATCTCAGCACTTGGGAGGCAGAGGCAGGTGGATCTCTGTGAGTTCAAGACCAGCCTGGTCTACATAGTGAGTTCTAGGCCAGCAGGGGCTACAGGGAGACCCTGTCTCAAAAAGATTTTGATCTGTAGAGATGGCTCAGTGGTTAAGAGCACCAGCTGCTCTCACAGAGGATCTGAGTTCGATTTCCAGCACCCACATGGTGGCCTAACAGCCGTTTGTAACTCTAGTTCCAGGGGAATTTGACACCCTCTTCTGATCTCCATGAGCATTGTACAACACAAGGGCACTTACATACATATGCTGCAGACAATACACTCATATATATAAAATAAAATTTTTTAAATTAACTATTTTAAAAAAGCCTGCTGACTCTGCTGTGCATGGTTGCCAGGTCTGTCCATATCTGTCCTTGCCTCTGTATTGTCTCCTCTGCCAGTCCTGATGTAGGCAGTACCACCCTGTGGGAACTTGCTGAGAGGTGATGAGGGGTCCTGGCTGTGGTGATCAGCTGGGCACAGGCAGAACCGCAGGGTACACCCTCTGAGGGCCCTGCACCCCCTGATGGGCCTTGTACCCCGTTTCCAGAGCAGCGACATGCCTTTAGATGAACTGCTGGCACTGTATGGCTACGAGGCATCAGACCCCATCTCGGAGCAGGACAGCGAGGGTGGAGACACGGCCCCTACTCTCCCAGACATGACCTTGGACAAGGTGAGTGAAGTTTCCACTGGAAAGGCCTTTCCCCACTCCTCTCGTGTGGGAGCTGAGTAGGAGGGATGCTGGGCACAGGATGAGGGGCAGACCCAGAATGGAGTGGGTAGTGGAGAGGCCAGGACAGGAGGCACTGGGCCCAGGACCAGGGAGGCCAGGCTCAGGGCTATTCTCTACAACTCTAGTTGGCACAGCCATGGCCACCCTGCCCTGGGGTTGGACTGACTGACATTCTGGTCTGGGTGATGAGTGCCATCCCTAGGAGGAGGGACCAGGAAGGAAGCTAGAAAATAGAAGGCAGGTGGGATCTGCATGGATTTTAACACTGGGTCTGTTGCCTCTATCCCATGCACTGTGGCGGGCATGGCTTCTTGGTATCTGCTCTGGAATTGTGGTGACACAAGCTGTGGTGATGCAAACTGCCATGTTGTCTTCACCATCTTGTTAAGGAGCAGATTGCAAAGGACCTGCTTTCAGGGGAAGAGGAGGAAGAGACACAGTCCTTGGCTGATGACCTCACCCCATCTGTCACCTCCCACGAGGCCTCAGACCTCTTTCCTAACCAGAGTGCATGTAGGTGTCCTTGGCCCTTCTACCACCACAGCCATGCACATGGGAACAGCCTGGACTGTAGAGCCCTGTAAAATAGATACTGGGATGGCCCAGGGTGGGGTCCGGGTCCTGGCCTGTGAAGCAGGTCACTGAGTGGTTTATGTGTATGTATATGTACCATATGTGCAGTACCTGAAGAGGCCAGAAGAGGGCATCAGATCCTCTGGACCTGACAGGTATTGTTAGCTGCTATGTGGGTGCTGGGATCCAAACTTGGGTCCTCTGCAAGAACAGCCAGTGCTCTTAACTGCTGAGTTGTTTCTCCAGCTCCAACATGGAGTGATTTTGGTAGGAGCAAACAGGAGTGGGTCTGTGCTTGGCAGTTGAGGGATGGTGACCCTAGACTGTCAGGTGCTCCTAAGGCCTGCCAGCCTCTGCTGGCTTCTGTCAGCAGAGAGGCCCCTTCCTGGGGGATATGCTGCTGGGTGGGGGCTACAGGTGGAGCTGCTATCAAGGACGCCTGGGGCAGCTGGTCCCACTGCTGGTGGGTACCCCTCAATGCCTCTCTTACTCACAGCCCTGTTCCTGGCTGGTGACAAGGACCCTGGGTCCTCGACCTCCTCTGACACTGAAGAGGACACCCTTCCTGGTAACAAGTGTAAAAAGGTTCGTGGCTGTGCTCTGCCACCCCCAGGTGTTCCCCAACCCTTCATAGCTTTGTGTCCCCTTCTCAGGAGGAGACAGTCCTGTGGCTTTCAGGCAGTGGGTAGGGGGCTCACTGTGGCACCTTGGACCTGGACCTTGCCTTTGCAGCTGCCCTAGAAGTGACTGACCCCACAATGCCCCTCAGCATCCTGTTGGGACCTCCAGGGCAGACTGCATAGTGCTGTGCCTCACCCACACCCAGGCCTCTGCACCCCAGAGCGCAGAAGTGGGCATCAGCAGGCAGACCCATGGCTCCAGGCAGCCTTGTGTCTGGTGTATGATTCTTTAGAGCCCTGATCTAGCCCTTGGTTCTGCAGGAGATCATGGTGGGGCCTCAATTTCAAGCTGACCTCAACAATCTGTACTTGAATCGACACTGCGACAAGTGTAAGTGGGCCAGGAGGCCATGGGGAGTCCTGTCTAGGGGCCCTGGGGTTCAGGGGGAGGTCCATAGGGGTGTCACTGGAGGCAGGGGGAAGCCCATCAAGGAGTCCTGGGAAGACCATGGGGGGGGTTCCCTGGAGACAGGGAGAGCGATCCATTGAGGGGTTCTGGGATGCTGGTGCCCAGCACCCCAGGTATGTCCCTTGATTCCCATCGCCCAATGTCCCCGCCAACAGCACCCCTTCCTACATGGGCCCAGTGGCTCCTCTTGCCCTCTGGGTCTGCCCTCCCCCCAGACTTGCAGTCCCTGTGTCACTCTAATTGTCCCCTGCCGTGGTAGGTCACTGCCTGTCTGGACATCTTGCCCCCAGCAGCAGAGACTTGATGGGACAGGACAGACAAAGATAGAGGGTCAGAGACTGGGGAGCTTTGCTGAGACATGGGCTGTGTGGGGTGTATCTGCTTAGCCATAGGCTCGGAGAACCAAGGCAGAGACATGTTGACAGCTTGCCAGTGGAGCCTGTATATACCCTGCTGTGCCCTTGGGCCCAAGTCTCAGCATGTCCCCAGGCTTGTTCTCCCCTGGATGTCTCACAGACAGGGCTTCCCATGTGGCCTCAATGTCACCTCTGTGGGCTATGCCCATATTGTGAGTGCTGTTGGCATACTGTCACATGTACATGTTTGTCAAGGCTGTCCCCAATTGGATGCAGAGTTTCCCCAGCACACAGGTACTCTTAAGTCCTCCCTCGCCTGGTCAGTACCCTCATGATGTGACAAAAGGCTGCCATGTTCGAGATATCTCTCTCTCTCTCTCTCTCTCCCCTCCCTCCCTCTCCCTCTCCCTCCCTCCCTCCCTCTCCTCCTCTCTCCCCCCTCCCCCCACTTTGTGGGGTTGTTTGCAATGTTTGGCACATGGTCCTGGGATGACACAGGTCTCCCAGCTTGTGGCTCACCCTCTGTCAAGAGGGTGCTGCAGTATGGGCTTATGTGATGAGGCAGTTTATTTGATTTGATTTTTGAGACAGAATCCCATTGTATAGCCCCAGCTGACCTGGAATTCACTATGTATACCAAACTAGCCGCGAACTCATCAAGATCTGATCTGCCTGCCTCTGCCTTCCGAGTGCTGGGACTGAAGGTTTGCACCACCATGCCCGGCATAAATTTTTTAAATTGCGTTTTTATATATTTATGTGTATGAGTGTTTTGCCTACATGTATATAACTGCACCATGTGTGTGCAGTGTCCACAGAGGCCTGAAGAAGGCATCATATCCCCTGGAACTGGAGTTACAGGCAGGTGTGGGTGCTGGGAACCAAACCTGGGTCCTCTGCAAGAGCAGCCAGTGCTCTTAACCACTGAGCTGGCTCTCCAGCTCCCCTTTTTATTTATATTTTGTTTGTGTATGTGTGGGTGTGTACCTGTGGAGGTCAGAGGTCAGCTCACAGGAGTCATTTCTCTCCTTCCACCATGTAGGTCCTAGGAATCAAACTCAGCTTGTCAGGCTTGGTAGCAAGTACCTTTACCTGCTGAGCCACCTTGCTGGCCCTTTTCTTTCTTAACTCCCTGTACTTATGGGTTCCATTCCAGGTGACTGTAGAGCCCATCCTTGCTGCATCATGCTCAGAACCCATCTGTCCTGCAGACTTTGCTTAGCTGGGAATGAGCTGTGTTCTGTGAGGTGTCCCATGTGTGCACCAGATTAGAAATGGCATCTCTGCTGGGTTTGCAAACAGTGGGCTGGCCTCGTTCCAGAGCAGCCCTGGTGTGAAGGGTCACCCTTCAAGTCTGCTCATCATCTGCTTTCTTGCCAACATGGTCTCTGACTGCAAACTACACTTGTGCATATCTTGGTTGTCCTAGACAGAGTAGTAGAGCAATCCCATCTGGGTAGGGGGCGTCAGTCAACAATAGTGGTTTAATTTCTCCAGTTTGTGAGCAAATGCCTTAAAGAAACATCAAGGTTCACTTAAATTTAATTTATTATTGGTGTGTGTGTGTGTGTGTAGGTAGGTAGGTATGCATGTGCTTACACTTGCATGTGTATGAGTGTGTGCATGTGTGTATGTGTATGTGCATATATATGAATTCATGTGTCTAAGAATGTGTATATGCTTGTGTGCATGAATGTGTATGCATGTTTGTATGTATACATGTGCCTGGACATGTGTGTATGTGTATGTTGTGTATGTTCACATGCTTGTGTATATGAATATGTGCATGCAGGCATGTGTATGTGTCTGTGCATGCCATGGGGACTCCTGTGGAGGCCAGAGGACAATTTTTGGGAACCGGTTCTCTCCCTCTACTGTGGGTTCCTGATATGGAACTCAGGTTTGTGCTGAGCCATCTTGCTGGCCCACAGGATTTATTTTGGCTCACACACGGTTTGTTCAACCCCATGCACTTGGGCAGAGAGACCATCATGGCTGTGGGAGCCTGTTCGCCTCACGGTGGACAATAGGAAGCAGGGACTGGGGCCAAGGGTAGCTTTCACAGGTCACTCCAGTGACCCCCCCAGCTTGGCTCCTATAATGCTGCATAGTGAACCCCAGCCACACGCTGCTAAACAGAAGCATGCTTACACTAAGGGATAAATTGTGGGATAAGTTAAAACTTCACTGAGTGGACTGGAGAACTGGCTCAGTGGTTAAGAGTACTGGCTGCTCTTCCAGAGGACCCCCAGGTTAATTTCCCAGCACCCACATGTCAGCTATTTAAAACAATCCTCTTTAACTCCAGTTCCAGGGGATGTGATGCACTTTTCTAGCCTCTGGTGGCACTACACTCACACACACATACACACATACACACATACACACACTTAACTGAAAATAATAACAGTCATAATGTCTGTTGGAGATGGTTTACCTCCTGGCTGTTGTCAAGAACATGGTGCTTTTACTCTTGGCCTGTTTTTCTGTATCTCATCCTCCCCTGTCAAAGTTAGGGGACAACCCATTCCCATACCTTGGATGACTTGTGACATAAGCATGCTTGGGTCTGAAGTCAGGGGCCAGCCCCACTTCCAGAGCTAACTTCTCAGTGAGCTCACACAGCACTCGGCAGTTTTTCAGGGTGACATACATGACACCCTGCCACCTGTCCAGGCGCTGCGTCTCCTGGCTGCCTGTGCTCTGCTGACTGTGTCATGGTTAGTTTTGGGGCTCAGATTGTCCTGGATGGTGAGAGGTATTGCCCTCCAGCCCTCCCAACCTGGTTCACCCACTCTCATCCTCTCATCCTCCTTGGAGGGACCATCCTTCCTTGTGGAAGCCAGTTGCTGCTTTGCCTCTGCACCTCTGGCCCTCACCTAGGTTTGAGGGCACAGCGGTTGGGGCGTAGTCATGACCAGGGCCATTCCTGTCCTGTCTGGGCAGCCTGCAGTTGGCCCACAGCCAGCCAGGTGGGGAGTGCCTCGTGGAACCATGCACCTATGCACTCTGAACCGTTGCCTACACCCCTTCCTCACAGCTCCCAGAGCTGCCTCTGACATGTTCAGTCACTGGCTTAGCACCCTGAACTTTGTTTCCCCACCTCCACCCTAGGCCTCCTGGCCTTTATTTCAGTGCTCAGCTTCACTCTGGGCCCACCTGTGACTTTGAACTGCATACATCTCAGAGATGGCAGCCCAGCTGCGGACTGCAAGGTGCTGAGGCCACCCCTGTGGTTCCTCTGGTACAGGTGGGAGCCACTGGCCACCCATGACCCTCACCTTCTTCCCATGCAGTCTATGAAAGTGAAGACCAGCTGCTCTGGAGGCCCAACGTGCTCCCTGAGCGGGAGGTGGAGGAATTCTTGTACAGGGCGGTGAAGCGGAGGTGGCAGGAGACGGCCAGCCCCCAGCTCCCGGAGGGCGAGGTGGTGAAGGACAGCGAGCAGGTCTGGCTGCGAGGGGGTGGGTTGCTCTGCAGATGTAGTAGCCAGGGGGAGTGGTCAGGCAGTGTGGACAGTATGATAGTGTGGGTGCCCTGTGTCACCCGTGGTGTGTGCAGATACCCCCAACATGGCCCATGATGCCATGATACAGATACAGATGGGGACTGTGGTGGGGGTGCATTGTTTGACTCTGGGAGTCGTGGTGGGGGTACTCCCTGTGCTGATCGGGTGACCAGCGGGAAAGGTGAACCGCGCTGTTCTGTAGGCACTGTATGAGCTGGTGAAGTGTAATTTCAACGTGGAGGAGGCCCTGCGCAGGCTGAGGTTCAATGTGAAGGTGATCCGAGGTGAGTCGTAGCCCCGGGGTCCCTACCTTGCTCCCCGCTGCCCCCTGAGTTGGCTGACCACTTCCCTGTGTTTGCAGATGGGCTCTGTGCTTGGAGTGAGGAGGAGTGCAGGAATTTTGAGCATGGCTTCCGAGTTCATGGAAAGAACTTCCACTTGATTCAGGCTAACAAGGTGAGGCTCACCCTCCTCCCTCTGGCTCCCCACCCTGCTTCTCCCTCTGGGCGCTACCACATTCATTGACCAGGCGTTTTTCCCATCCCCAAAGACAGCAAGACTCTTGTGGCTGAGCCTGACTCACTTTGCTCACAGCACCCTCCTCCTAGTCACACATCCTACCCTGCAGTCACATGTCCCCCCCACCAGGCTTTCTGCCTTTCACAGACTTGTGTCCCCTGGGGGTGTCTGTGTCCTGCAACAGTGCTGCTGGCCACACCTCTCTGCCTCCCTTCTCCCTGCTGGTTGTCAGGCCCAGTCCTGCCATAGTCTTAGCCTTGTTCCCTGGGGATGCATTCTGGGGCCTCAGAGTCCTCTTCTGAGGGTGGTATCACAGGAATGTTGCTTAGTGTGGCTGGCCAGAGCTGGCCAGAGGCAGTGCTCAACCCGTCAGAGTTGGCTGGAGCTGCCGTGGGCTGGCAGGCTCTTCTGATGACAGATTTACAGTGGCCCTGAATCTCTGTCCACAAGTCATGTAGGCCACAGCAATATGTGAGGGGCCTGTGACGGCTGGCTCTTAGAGAAGAGCCTACCTCTGTGTACACCCTCCAGAGGTAGCCCACTCCACACCAGGAGGGTGTCCAGACATTTCAAGGTGCTGTGTGTCACATTGCACACTGGCGGAGAGGGGTGGTCTGTGAAGCAGAGGATGTTGGGGAGGGACTCCTGTGTTCATGTGGGTGGGAGACTCCCTTGGACATTGGGTGGAGGACTCCTGTGGACAATGGTGGGAGGCCCCCATGAGCATCCAGGTAGGAGCATTCCCAGGTTCCACCATAGCACATCCCTGGGCAAACTGCTGGTGTCCATTGGAGTTTTTGCCAACTGCACTCAGCCTGCTAGACACAGCAGGGGTGAGACCTGCCAGCCATGCCTGCTGGCCCTGTCTGTATTTGTTGCTTTTCTTGTTTCTGTGACCAGATTCTTGAGTAGAAGGAATTTAAGGGAAGGAAGGGTTACTTAGCTCACAGTTTGAACAAATAGATCCCATCTCCACAGGGAAGGCCTGGAGGTGGGAGTGCAAGATGGCTGGTTGTGTTGGGTTCCCAGCCTTGGAGTGGAGAGAGATGGATGCTGATGCTAAGCTGATTTTCTCCTTTTTTTCCTTTTTATTCAATCAGGACCCTAGCCTGTGGGAAGGTGCCACTCACATTCAGGGTGGTTTTCTTTCCTCGGTTAAATCTCTCTGGAGATCCTTACAGATATACCTAGGGATGTGTCTCCTAGGTGATCACAAATCCAGTCCGTTGACAAGATTAACCATCAGAAGTCCACATCATTTGACACTAGGCATCACTTTTTGCCATGACACTTCACCTCTTGTCTTCAGAGGCTCATGGCTATCTCGTAATACAAAATGCGAAGTTCATCTCTAATCCTTTGCAACCCCAACACCATTCAAAAGCCCAAAGTTTCTTCTGAGACTTGTTGAGATGATCTCTCTTAACTGTGAACTCCTGAAAATTCAAAAGATAGGTTACACACTTCCAAGATACAGTAACATACATTACTTTCCCATTCCTAAAGAGGATCCAGGTTCAGTTCCCAATACCTACATGGCTGCTAGCAACCATCCATAACTCTAGTTTCAGGGGATCCATTGCCTGCCTTTGGTCTCTGCAGGCATTGCATGCATGTGGTGACCTTGCATGCTTGCAAAACACATAAAAATAAATAGATCAAACTTTTTTTTTTTTTTTTTTTTTTTTTTTTTTTGAAAAAAAAAAAAAAAAAAAAAAGAGGAAGGCATCTCATGGATGTGGTGACCTTGCAGTCTTGAAAAAACAAAAAAAAAAAATAGATCAAACTTTTTTTTTTTTTTTTTTTTTTTACTTTTTTGACTTTTTGAAGCAGGGTCTCCCTGTAGCCAGGTCACTGGTCACTATGTAGACCAGGCTGGCCTTGAACTCACAGAGATCCGCCTGCCTCTGCCTCCCTAGTGCTGGGACTACATGCGTGCGCCACCACACCTGGCTTCAAACTATTTTTTTAAAGACAGAAGTTCAGGGACTAGAGAGATGGCTCAGTGGTTAAGAGCACTGACAACTCTTGTTTAGGACCCAGATTCAGTTCCCAATATCTACATGGCAACTAACAACCATCTGTAACTTCGGTTCCAGGGGATCTGATGCCCTCTTCTGGCCTCCGAGAGCATTGCAGGATGCAGGGTGCACCTACATACATGTAGACAATACACTTTTTTGGGGGGGTCTTTTTGAGACAGGGTCTCCCATAGTTCCAGCTGGCCTGGAATTCGCTAAGTAGACCAGGCTGGCTTTGAACTCACAGTAGTCCACCTGCCTCTGCTTCCCAAGTGCTGGGACTAAAGGTGTGCACTACCATGCCAGGCTTGCACTCATTTATTTTTATTTTATTATTATTGTCTTTTTGAGACAAGATCTCCTTGTAGCCCCAGCTGGCCTGGAACTCCTTGATTCTCCTGCCTCTGTCTCCCAAGTGCTGGGACTAAAGGTGTGTGCCACCACGCCTGGCTTGGTAATATATACATAAAATTTTAAAATGTAATAATAATAAAAAGACTGAAGTACAGCGGGGCAAGCTCCAAATGCTTCAGATTGGAGAATCAGGCAGCCCCACCTGTACAGCTTTGCTGCCCTGGCATGTGCAGCCTCTCGGGCTAGCTCCACCCAAGCCTGCGGCTTTCCATGGCCCGTCCTGCTGTCATCTCCTTTGTAACTTGGGCTTTTTGGCTTCATATGATGGCCTCTTGGCAAAGAAGTTGACCCTGCCATGCATTGCCTGGCTTCGGTGGCTTTCTAGTGTGTGAGTGCCAGCCTCTACAGCCCACTTGCACTTTCATTTTGCCATCTGCAAAGCCAGTGCCTTGTGTGTGGTGCTGCCAAACTCTGCCTGTCTGTTCACCCTGGCTGGACCTTGCGGCATCACTTCCCTGGGTGGTAGTTTTGAATAGGGAGCCCCTTCCATGACTCAGCCCAGCTCTGTCCTTTCAGAGAATGGTGCCACCCACTTTCAGGGTAGGGTGTATCTCCTGGGTGACTCCAGATCTAGTTAGGGTTCCAGTGCAGATCCATAGCATCCAGTGCCACTCCTGTGTGCACCCCGAACTGAGGCTGTGTTGTCAGGATGGCTTTGAGTCTGGGATTCACAGCACTGTGAATTCTCCCTCGTAATTGTTAGGTTCGTGAAAAGACCAGGACCTCTAGAGACCACTCTGGGATGAGAAAAGAAACTTATTGGGCTGGACAAGCTGCTGAACTGCTTCCATGGGAAAAAGGGAACAGCGATTTCTTGTCATAGCAGGCTGGATTTTATAGGATTTTTCTTTTGTGGGTGGGGGGAGGTGAGACTAGCAGGAAGGTGAGTCAGTAGCAGGTGGCTTGGTGTGTGTGTGGGGGCTTTAGTTAGGTATTTTTCAGTTTTTTGGTTGGCTGCGGTGGAAAATTGCTGTTTTGATTAGGGTGCATTGTTAAGACAAAGGTCAGGTGGTTACTTGAGAAACTAGGATGGTTTAGTTTCTGTTTCCCAGAATGCTGCCCACCAGGTTGTGATGCCATGTTGCTGGTCAGTAGTGACTCCATCTTGGGGCCCAGTTTGACCTGACAGTAACATCAAGTGGACCTCTGTGTCCATTTACTGACCCGACTTTGTCCATGGTGATTGCGCACTCGGGGCTCACTGTTCTTGCCCCACACCCTAGCTCGTGAGGAACAGGTGCTATGGATGTGGGCTGTCCCTGACATGTTGGTCTGAGGTGTGGGAGACAGGTGCTGCACAGGGGCCCCACTGTGTATTTGTGTTGTGGGTGTCACATAGGGAAATAACCTGGACTAAACTATGTTGGGGCACAAATGGAGCATGGGGTGGTTAGTGTCCAGATGTGGGGATGGGTGTCATGGGAGGTCTCTTGGGGCCCTGAGGGGAGGCACTGGCTCTTGAGTGGCAGGGACAAGGTATCCTGCTGCTCTGTGACCTGCAGCCGAAAGGATTCCTGTTGGTACATGTAGGTACGCACACGGTCGGTGGGTGAGTGTGTGGAATATTACTACCTGTGGAAGAAGTCTGAGCGTTATGACTACTTTGCCCAGCAGACGAGGCTGGGCCGGAGGAAGTTTGTCTCATCTGGAACCACGTGAGTACTGTTGGCTATCTGGCCTGGGTGGGTGTGGAGCTGGGGTGTGGCCCCTCCTGCTGGGGTCCTCCTTACAGTCTTCTTTGCACAGGGATGCTGACCAAGACCTGGATGGCCTGGAGCCTGATGGCCCTGCCCAGCTGCAGCCAGAGCAGGAGCCTGAGGCAGAGGTGCCCACAGGTGAGCACACATGGAGCACAGCTGTGGGTAAGGACAGGTCTCCAGGACCCACACTGGTCAGTCTCTGCTTGGTCCAGCCTGGCTGTGGGAAAGGTTAGCTCCAACCACCCTGCCATGTGGGGATCAGGGCAGGAGAGTGTATCTCCCACAGGCCACTGACCAAGAACCTCATGCTTCCTGACTCTGTTTAGAGTTGGTAAAGAGGGTCTCATTTCCATGGTCCAGCATCAGGTTCATGTGGTTCCCAGAACTGTATATTGTGCCATGTGGGCATGTAGTGTGTGTAGAACTGTCCAATGTCCATCTGTCTCACTCCAGCGAGTCATCTGGTCCTCTGTGGCATCTGGTTGCCTCTAAAACTGGGTGTGACCACTCTTGATCTTGCAGTCTCTGGCTGGGCCCATTGATGTAGCTGGCTTCTTTCAGTTTACATAGATTTTTTTTTTTTTCAATTTTTTTATTGTTGTTGTGGTTGTTCTTTGAGACAGGGTCTCTCTGTAGCCCCAGCTAGAACTCAATATTTAGACCAGGCTAACCTCCATTGCACAAAAATCCACCTGCCTCTGCCTCCTGTGTGCTGTGATTAAAGGCATGTGCCACCATGCCTGGCTGATTTATTTTATGTGTATGAGTGTTGGCCAGTATGTAAGTGCAGTTGTGTGTGCAATGCTCACAGAGGCGAGAAGAAGGCATTGCCCTGTAATTGGAGTTATGGACAGTTACTAGCTGCCACGTGGATCCTGGGAGCTGAACCCAGGTCCTCTGCAAGAGCAGCCAAGTGCTCTTAACCACTGGGCTGTCTCTCCAGTCTGTTGATGTAAACTTTTTCCCAGGACACACAGGGATGACTGTAGACCCGAGGGTGGGCTTGTGTTGAGGTCCCACTCATGCCGCCCTCACCCTGATCTCCTTGCAGAGCCTCTCAGCATGAACAGTGTGGCCGCTGGACCTGAACAGTCTGGAGTGGGCTCAAATGACCACCAGTCCTTGGAGCCTGGACCCTGTCCGTTCCAGCAGGTGGATGAGCCCCCTACTGTGTCCTTACCCCAGCAACCTGCCAACCTGGCTGCCCCGGCTGATTTCCCTTCAACTGCAGCTGCTCCAGAGCCAGGAGCCAGCCCTAGGCTGGCCGTGGACTTCACCCTGCCAAAGGACCTACCCCTTGTATCCAGCCATATGGATCTGAGTGAGGACCCTGTGGAGCCCATGACTCCAGCACAGGTGGCCCTGTCGGTGACTGAGTTTGGACTTATTGGCATTGGGGATGTGAACCCCTTTCTGACTGGCCACCCTACATGCCCAGCCTCCACACTGCGCTCAGAGCCCTTGTCACAGTGAGTGCCACCCTCCAGGGGGGTGGAAGAGAGAAATGGGCTGGCTCCTATGGGGCTGAGATTGCACCTTTGGCATCTGCTTCACTGCTGGGCGTGGTGACATACACATTTAATCCCCGTACTAGGGAGGCAGAGGCAGGTGGATCTCTGTGAGAGAGACCGGTCTTGGGATACATAGCGAGTTCCAGTCCAGCTGGGGCTACAGGGAGACCCTGTCTCACAAAACAAATAAGGGGCTGGAGATGACTTAGCACTTAGAGCACTGGCTGCTCTTGCAGAGGACCCAGGTTTGATTCCCAGCACCCACACTGTGGTTAACAATCATCTGTAACTCCAGTTCCAGGGGATATGATGTCCTCTTCTGACCTCTGGGCCCTGCATGACATGGGTGCACCTATCCACATGCAGGCAATGCACTCATACATATAAAAAAAAATTAGTAAATATTAAGTTTTTTAAAAACAAAAACCAAAAAAGAATCTCCTTTACTATTTTTTAGTTTTCTGACTGGTAAAACATTCAGATTTTTCAGTCCACAAAGCTGTAAGTGGGTGCAGGCCACAGGCCCCCGGGACTTGCCTAGGCACTCCACACTTTGCCCCAGTCTAACCAGGCAGAAATCAGAGCTGAGTTTTGGGTGGAGGTGGTGGCTCAGGATGGACAAGGCTTGGGTTGCGGAGACACTGACCTTTGCTCTTGGTTTCTCATAGGTGCAACGTCATGACCTGTTGACCCCTGGTTACCAGCGGCCATGTGTGGCTCGGACTGGACATGGCGCCACCACCAGGGCTGCCCGTCAGTCTTCCTGACCCTCTCCCACATAGGCTTTGGTGAGGTGGCCAGAGCCATGCAGACCCCAGACCTCAATACCCAGCTTCTACATCCCTGGGCTGCCACCGTGCGGTGGGGTCCACTGGGTAGCTGGGCTCAAAGAGGGCCTGTGTATCACAGAGCCGGTGGAGGTCAGGCAGGTGGTGCCACCTGGGGCTTTGGGCAGGACTCATCCGCACCAGCAAACTATGCCCGGGTACCCTGCACAGGCCAGCTCTTCCCTCACCCTGGCAGTCTGTGGCCACCAGCCTCTACCCACCCGAGAAACCTCGGGGCACAGAGCCGTATACCTCACCGTGTGGCCACCCTCTCTTGGCCCTCTGCCATCTCCACTTCAGGAAAAGCCTTGCTCTACGCCCCACCTGCCACCCTCTTCCCTCCCTGCCCTGTGTGTGGTGGGGCCTGGCAGCCCAGGCAATTGAGGAACAGGTGGTCAGCTCTCTCCTGCCCCGACCCTGCTGCCTGCCTGTGCTTGGGTCTCATTTCTTTGGAGGCTCCCGGCAGGGTGACTGGGTCTCTTGCCACCCTCATTTTATTTATGTTGGTGTTTACAATTTTGGAGTGGGGTCCTTTTTGGAGTGGGTTCCTGGGCAGGCAGCTCCTCCCCAACGTTGGCAGAGCCGTGCTGCATTTGAGCCTCTCTGGCTGGACTCAATTGTCCCTCGCCCCACCGAGGACACTGTGACGTGAGACCGCCTTTGCCCCTCCAGTGTTTTATTTATTAAATTTGATTTGAAGCCCAGGGTGTCTCAAGTGGATTGGCAGGGGCTAGGGGAACCCAGGCTATCCTTGATACCCTAGGAGGCTCTGGATCAGAGTCTGACTGCACAACAGGGTGTGTCTGGGAGGCATGGAGGATGGGGGCCAGCAGGTTAATGTGTGGCCACGGAGCAGGAGTCAGGCTGCCTCTCAGAAGTGGCCACTAAAGCCTAAACGTGAAGTACGCAGTCAGCCTTGCCCGGAGCCAGTGGCAGTGTCCTGGGTTGGTGAGCAGAGTGCCGTGGCCAGGCCAGAGGTTGCTGGGACAGGAAGTTGTGACACCATGGGTGGTCTGTCCCTGGCATAGCTCAGCTCCTGTGGGTACTGAGCACAGGCTAGGCAGGGACAGGGCAGCTGGCCACTCTCTGTGGTAACTGGGACCCAGACAGTGGGGCCTGAGGCTGAAGAAGACAGGTAAGTCCAGGAGAGACGGGGCAGGAGGCATGGGTGTTGAGGTCCCCCAGGGTTCTCGGCTCAGTCCCTGTGCGCTCTAGGCTGGAGTGCAGCTTGTTTGGAGGCTGTGGTCTGGCTTTTAGGATGACAGGTCTGCTGGCTCTGCTCAGAGTTCATGAATTTGCTTCTTGAGTGGTGTGGCCAGGAAGTGCCTGGGTGTGTACAGAGTGCACCCTTCAAAGATTGACTGCTTCGGTTCCCCATGAGGGGGTTCCTTGGATTTCCATTCCCACCAAGGGAGTCCTCCTCCCCGCCAGGCTCCCAACTCTTCCTTATTGATTATTTGGTCTTTTTGAGACAGGGTCTCCCTGTAGCCTTAGCTGGACTGGAAGTGTGTAGGCCAGGCTGGTCTTGATCACTCAGAGATCCGCCTGCCTCTGTCTCCCAAGTGCTGGGATTAAAGGTGTGCATGTGTCATTATGCCTGGCAGACTCTTCCATATTTATTGATGGAAACATCCCCCTATCCCCCGTGTCTTCCTGGCTATATGGGCCCTTTGCTTTATAAGTAGCACATACTCCATAGTCAGCAGTTAAAAATACTGGCTACTCTTTCAAAAGACCTGGGTTCAATTCCCAGCCCCCACATGCCAGCTAACAACTGTAACTCTAGTTCCAGGACATCCTTTTCTGTCCTCCATGGGCACTGTACTACATGGGTACACTTATAGACATACAGGCATAACACACATACACATAAAAATAAATTTTAAAAAAATTTTTTTTAATTTTGGGCAGGGGCATCAGGCTCTAGTTCAGGCTGGCCTGAACCTGAGGTAATCCTGCTTCACCCTCCTAGAACACAGCCCAGCACCTCCACCTGCTGGACACATGTCTACATTTTGCTGTCTGGGGTAAAAGTGCTGTGCAGACCCATGCAGGATCTCGAAATAGCTCCAGCTGGGTTGGAACCCACTATGTAGACTAGGCTGGCCTTGAACTCACAGAGGTCCACCTGCCTCTGTTTCAAGTCATTGGAAAAATTCCAAAGAGCCTCCTTGATGGGTCACTTGGCAGGAGGTGCTGTACACCAGCTGTGTTCTCACATCAGCAGTGAGCGCAACGTGTACCATGTCCCAGCACTTAAGGTTCTGTGTTTGGTGCACAGGACAGGCTCGTGGAGCTCATGTGGAATAGGCACAGAGGGCCTCATTCTGCAGCCTGTTATTTTCTCTGCATTGCTGGGGAGGGGTTGAGGGGGGCGCATGCACCATATACAAGTCTTCAACTGCTGAGCCATGCCCCCAGCCTCTCACTAAGGGATTCTAGGCAGTTTCTGCTTCTGAGCACCTCTGCTTCCTGTGAAGAACTTGATGTTTTTTCCTACTCTAATAGGCATCCTATCCTGCATAATGGGAGTGTCTTGATTATGAGGTTCCTGAGTCTTGCTTTCCACATTCAGCTCCTGGCCTTCACCAGATTTGGAGACTTGCATCACTCACATTTTTATTTTCTTTTTATGTATAAATGCAACCGTGTCATGCAGTGGTCACAGAGGCCAGAAGAGGGCGTTGGATCCTTTGGAACTGGAGTCATAGACTGTTGTTAGCGGTCATGTAGGTGCTGGGAACTGATCCTGGGTCCTCTGCAAGAGCAGCCATCTTACCAGTCATCCCTGCCCCCTCACCTTAGAGTCTTAACAACAAAAGCTATTGGACATCACACAGCCAGGTCACCAGCCACCCCCCACCCCATTAGAATCTTGCAACAAAAGCTATTGAACCTTACATTGTGGCCTGTCTTTACCAAGAATGATGCTTACACAGGATGCCTCTCGTTGCCTTGCTGGCACTGAGATTCTGCTGGGTTTTCTGTGCTCTTACTTGCTGAGTTCAGCAGCCCTGGGCCATCACAGAGGACAGTGGTTTTGCCTGTGTCCAGTTGGGGGGGGGTGGGGGTGTTTAGATCTGTGGCTAGGAGACAGCAGGGCAATTGTGTTGACTTGTTGCCAAAGTGGGAAGCTTCTGTGGAATTCCAGAACTACATGTGTACAAGGGGCATCAACCCCAGGCCAGAGCAAGCCCTGGGGTGTTGGAGTTTGCTTTTTGTTGCTGTGAAAAAAATACCTTGACGGAAAGCAACTTAGGGAGGAAAGGGTTTATTTGGCTTCCAGCTTACACACAGTCCACGGAAGCCAAGGTAGGAACCCAAGCAGAGGACCATAGAGGAAGGATGCTGACTGGCTTTGCTCACATCCCAAGCCCACCTGCCCAGGGATGGCACCATCCGCAGTGGGCTGGACCCTCCTACATCAATCAGCAAGGAAGAAAATGCCAGGCCCACAGGCCGGTCTGATGGAGGAACTTCTTTCTTCAATTGCTCCCTCTTCCCATGTGTGTCAAGTTGACAACCTAAGCTAAGGATGATGGGAAGGAACCACGCCCTGCCCTGGTGGGGCTTTGACAGCTGGGAGGCACTATGACAATGGGGTCATTAAGGTGACTCCACCTAAGAGGGTCTGAGGACTGAATTCCTTCTATGCCCAGAAGCCTGTCTCCCCCCTCAGCCCTTGTCTTCCCCCCTTAGTCCCTTTCTCCTTCCTCAATCCTTGTTTGTGCTACCCACTTCTGTCTCCCTCCTCATCCCATCTCCTCCCTCAGCTCCTATCCCCCTGTCTACCCTGCCCTTGTCTTCTGGGTCATGTGGTCCCTGTTTTTCCTTGCTAGGTCATTTGGTACAGCAAAATCCAGGCTGCTGTTAGGGGAAGAGATTTGAGGGGACTGGAATGAATCCTCCCCACCCCATGGCCTGTTCCATGTTTCCCCTTGCGGTCTGTGAGAAGAATCAGGTTGGAGCCTGCACCCCTCCTTGGCGGCCTCATCCTTCCTGGGCTAGTGTGACTGGAACCTCCAGTTCCCAGCAAGGAAGTCACAGGTGCCCTGGATGCTGGGGTGTCTGCCCTGTCCATGCTGCCTCTCCAGGTGCAAAGCCTGGGCCTTAGGGGAGTCCAGTATGGGCTGGGGGCTTAGGACTTGCAGTCCCGCTCTGAAGGGACTCCTGCAGGCCCAGAGGCTCAGTACTCCCGTGGGAGATTGTGAGGGTTGGCAAGGCCCCTTCCTTTGCTTGGCAGGTGTCTTGAGTCTGAGGGTTGTATACTATCCAGGAGGCCTGGCAGCTGAATGAGGCTCTCCTGCCTTCTGACTCTACAGATGGCCTGGGCAACAGGGTCTGTCTGTGTATGGAAGGGCACGTCCACATTCCTTGCTTCCCCTGTCCCCAGCCTGCCTCAGAACACATGGCGGCTTTGACCCTGACCTTGGGGGACTGCTTCAGCCTCCTGGACCCCAGACAAATGTGAAGCACCAAGGCTATGTGCACGTGGATGGCGCCCACTGTATGCACACCCCCGTGCCCATTTCTCCGATCCTCTATCCACAACAGTCCTCACTGAACATGAGGCCCCTGGGGCAGAGCTAGCCCGGAGCCAGGAGCCTCAGAGCCCTGAGACAAGAGGCCCAGGGGCAATGGCCCTGTTGGGGGTGGGGGGACACTGGCAAGACCCCAGGACTCCATAGGGCCCTTCTGCTCTAGGGGAGGCCAGCCCAGGCTTCCTGGGGCCCAGCAAGGTATGATGAGAAAACTTTGGCAGGTCGTTCCTCACAGGGAGGCCACATCAGTAATGGATTAGGAGCCTTGACCCCAATTGTAACCCTAATCTTAATTTTTGCTGCCCCCACAAGCTTTTAATCCTGATGCTTCCCAAGGGTTTTAACGACTGACCCAAATCTTTCCAACAGGGGAAGTATGAGAGAAGGGCTCCAAGTGGGCTCCTCCCTCCTCCAGACTCCCCTCACCCATCATCCAGCATCAACTCTCCTCCCACTAATCTTCCTCTAGACTCGCCCTCCTCCCATTCACCCTCCTCTTACCTTCCTTCACCATCCTCCATCACCCTCCTCCCACTATCCTCCCACTCACTCTCCCCCAACTCCTCCTCCTCCAACCTCACTGTCCTCTCACACATTTCCTACCACTCACCCTTCTCCAGCCTCCTTAGCAACCTCCCTCTTTCCTCTTCCTCTCTGGTCAGTACCCCACAGCCCCTCCAACCCAGCACCTCTCCTCTCTGGCTCTCTATCCAGCACACAGTAGGCACTCAATAAGGAACTTGGCCTTTTGTTTTTCTGACACCAGTGTTGTCCTGTCCTGCTAGACTTACCTGGGGTTGGTGTTCCAGGTGGACTGCGAGGTTAAGGAGGGCAGTAAGAATGCGATCATTCATGTGACTTGTCAGGAACTAGGGGGCACATCACATGTAGGGTAGTTCTTGCACCCCTAAGCCCATGTACTCTACACACGTGGATGAAGGAGTCATAAATGCTTGGCATGGAGGGAGCACTCTGTTCAGAGTGTCTGTGGGTAAAGCTCTGCCATCAGAGCCCATCCTGCCAAGGAATACCCTCATCTTTAAAGGGTCAGACTTGGGGTTGGAGAGCCTGCTCAGCTGTTAGGAGCACTGGCTGCTCTTGCAGAGGACCTGTATTCAGTTCCCAGCACCCACATAGCAGCTCACAACCATCCGGAACCCTAGTTCCAGGGAATCTGACACTTTCCACAGGCTCCACAAGCGTGTGGTACATATACATACATGCAGGCAAAACACACACATAAAATAAAAATAAAGTCTTTTTTATTTATATTTTATTTTATTTTATTGGTCTTTTTGAGACAGGGTCTTCCTATAGCCCCAGCTGTCCTGGATTCACCATGGAGACCAGGCTGGCCTCAAACTCACAGAGATCCACCTGCCTCTGCCTCCTGGGTGCTGGGATCAAAGGCATGCGCCACCACGCCCGGCAAAAATAAAGTCTTTTTAAAAAATGCACTTGTTGCTCTTGGTTCAGTTCCCAGCACACACATGGTGGTTCACAACCATCTATAACTCCAGTTCCAGGAAATCTGATGTCCCCCTCTGGCCTTCACAGGTATTGCATAATATGGTGCTCATACATACATGCAGGCAAAACACTTGTACACACAAAAATAAATCTCTTTAAAAAGGGGTCATACCTGCACCATGGGTGTGCAGTGGGCATGGGGGGCACCCCCAGGATACCGGTGGGGATCTGGAACCAGGTTTCTGTACAGGCTTGTCCTACTCTGGTGGGTGGGTACATTATTGTGGTTTTGTAAAAGTTACTTATTTTTATGTGTATGAATGTTTTACCTGCATGTGTGTAAGTGCACCCATGTCATGGCCCACAGAGGCCAGAAATGGGCATCAGATCCCTTAGAACTGAAGTTATGGATGGTTGTTAGCTGCTATGTGGGTGCTGGGAACCAAACCCTGGTCCTTTGCAAAAGCAGCTGGTGCTCTGAACCACTGAGTCGTCAGTCCCAGATTTATTTATATTTTATGTTTATGCATGTTTGCCTGTATGTGTATGTGTACCACATGTGTGCAATGCCCACAGAGGCCAGAAGAGGGTGTTAGATCCCCTGAACTGGAGTTACAGGTGGATGTTAGCCTCCATGTGGGTGCTGGGAAATGAACCTAGGTCCTCTGCAAGGGCAGCCAGTGTTCTTACCCCTGAAACTTCTCTTCAGCCCCTTTACTATGTTATTGGAAGCTCTGTCCACCCACTTTAGGCCACCTTTTCCTGGGTTCAGGGACCTTCCCTCATCCCTGGACAAGCCACTATATGCCACTCCACACCCAGCATTACAGAGTGGGCACCTATGCTCTCCTAGGACCCCTCAGGACATGATTCCTCCTCTAGATGCAGTTGGTTAGGAAGCAGGAGTGGGGTGGAAGAATAGGGTTGGTTGGGACAGGGCAGGGTAATAAGGTGGGGTGGAGGAGTGGAAAGGAGTTGGGGTGGGGTGGGGATGGAGGCCTGCCTTTTGGATCTTGAAACAGGGCTGCCCATCTCCTGACTTTTCTCCACCCTGGAGTCTCAAACATCTTAGGATCCACTCTATGGTGGGATTGTTGGGGAGAAAGGCTGACTGAGTTGGGCAAGACCAAGTCCTTGAGGAACTGTAACTGGGGCCTCAGGAAATGGCAGCCCCAAAGATCCAGTATGGGTATTGTGATCTGGGCCTCAGTTTCCCTACTCTAGGTGCCCTGGTCCAGGGCTCCAGGGCCTGGGGATGTGTGTTAGAGGGTCCCCATTCTCCTGGTCAGCCTCTGCATTTCTCTGGTCTCCAGTAGACTAGGCACAGCTTGGGCTGAGGGACATGAATGTATCTCTGATCCTTCCACTGTGAATAGGTATCAAGGAACTGGGTCCTTAATCTGCCAGGGACTACAAGGTGCCAGGCCATGATCCTCCGATTTAGTGGGAAGCCACACCTCTGCGACTGAGTGCTGCACCCCATGCTTAGGTGCTTCGTGGATTTTGGAAGTGTCGAGGTGTCCAGGACCTGTGTCTGTCCCTGGAAAGGCATAGGAGATGGTCTAGTTTGGGTTTGGTGCTGCAGGTGGCTGTAGGCTGGCCCCCCTCAACTCTGCACCACAACTGCAGGACCCCCGACCTTAGCCTGCTGCAGCCTTGACATTTGGCTCCTCTCACCCAGAAGACCCCTCCAACTGTCAGCACTTGAAGACCCTTCTGAGTAGTGAGACACACTCCCCCAGTCCTGAGACCCCTCCCAGTCCCGAGACTCCCCCCAGTCCCCAGATTCCTCCCAGTCCTTACACCCTCCCGGTCCCGAGACCCCTCCCATCCCTCACACCCCTCCCAGTCCTGAAACCCCGCCCAGTCCCAAGACCCCTCCCAGTCCTCACATCCCTCCCAATCCCAAGCACCCTCCTAGTCCCGAAACCCCGCCCAGCCTTGAGACCCCCCCCGAACCAGTCCCCAGATTCCTCCCAGTCCTCACACCCCTCCCAGTCCCAGAACCCTTCTAGTCCCGAGACCCCGCCCAGCCCTGAGACCCCCCCCTTCCAATCCTCTGATTCCTCCCAGTCCTCACACCCTTTGCAGCCCAAAGGCCCTGCCAGATGGGATAGCAAACACACCCGCCTGGCCTACTCCCTCCCTGCCTGCAACCTAGAACACACCAAGCCCTCTGCTCGGCCCGCCCTTTCTCCCCACGCCACGCCCACCCAACCCCGCCTGGGTCTCGGCCTCGCCTCGCCCAGCCCCTTCCCTAGGCCGGCAGTCTCTATGGCCATGTGACCCTCCGGCGGCCAGGACGCTCCGAGACTCGCTGGGACTGCTGGAACGTTCTCAGGGGTCGCGGGTGTTCCCCGGGTACAGGCAACATGGAGCGGAGGTGGGTCTTCGTGCTGCTGGACGTGCTGTGCGTGTTGGTCGGTAAGAGCCGCGGGACCCGGGAGCGGGGACCCTCTTTCCTAGGGGGATGTACCCCCTGCCCCGGCAGCTAGTGGGCAGTGTAGGGCGCCGTGCGCTCCGGACCCCGACGCTGGGGACGAGGGTCCCGCCAGTGCCCTGTGTGAGCCCCGCCCGGGCTGCCTTTCTCTGTCCCATCTGGGGGTCCCGGCGGGAGGAGGTCACTCTAGGGCCGCGGGGTGATATGACTCACACGGGCGGGGCGTCACCAGGACCCTGCAGCTGCATCCAGAGGCTAGTGACCCGCGACCAAGGTCCAATGCAGCGCCCTCCCTCGGGAGGCGGAGATAACCTAATGGCTGAGCTGACAAACCTGCCAGTCCGGTTCGGGCTACAGGGAGGAGCATCAAGAACAACCCCCCTTTCCTCCCCAGGCATGAACAAAGGCCAAGTGTTTTGCTCAGGGGCGCAGGAGACAGTGGCCCCCATTCTACACCGAGGGGCTAGACGGGGTGTAGTCAGCCTTCCTCCTGCATTGGACTTCCTGCATCTCCCTCCCACCTTCCATTTACTGCACCTGGTGACAGCAGCGAGGCTCTACTGACCTACAGTCTTGGGTACTCTTTCTGAGTGCATGGGTCGATTTAAACATTTATGGTGCTTTAACTGCACCCCACGGAGAGACCTGGAAGGATAGTTAACATCTCTGGAGCCCAGAGAGGTGGAGCCACCTGGTGGAGTCACAGCAGGGGGCAGAGCCCAAGTGTTGCCTGGTGCTGCCCAGGGTTTCCATCCCAGTTTGAGTGATTGGACACTGGAGTCCGTAGAGGTTTTTGGTGGCAATAGGCAGGCTCTGAAAGCCTGAATGAAGGAGGCACCCGCCTGTTTGTGGGGACAGCTTTTCCCAAAGGAAGGATAGGCATAGATGCTGAGACACCTACCAATGGTGAAAGGAGAGGAGGGGCACAGCGGGGAAATAGTGCTCTGGTCTGCAAGCTGCCATGCCCCCCAGCCAAGGCCAGAGCTCTATCCAGGCCTTGTGCACCTGTCCCTGTGGTTTTGGTCTGACTGGGATGTTCGCAGAGACCACTCACCAACTGACAGGGCCCTCCCATGTCCATGTCACTGGATCTTCTGACCTCACCACACACCTATGAGGCATCTCCAACCTGCCTCCTTAACCAGCTCTCCTCTCTGACCATGATCTCTCTTCCTGTGATTCTCCTCCTTATGTTCCTTTGAAGCCGGTCTCTTCCCAGGCTGCATGCTGCACTCACTGTTACTTCCTGGCCCTACCTCTCAGTTTGGTGATGTTGATGTTAACCTCTTCCTGTATCGGGTATCCTCTTGGCATTGTGGTGGCTCACCTCCGGTCTGGGACAACTTCCTGGGCCCCTGCTCTTTCCCTTTTCACCATGTTCTCCTGGCATTGAGACCTAAAAAGCTACATTCTCCACACCCAGCTGCCCTGTTGGGGGGCAAAGGGTACTTGCCTTGATTTACTTCTTTGGAGTCTGTGTTTCTCTGCCTGTGGAGCAGGGCACTGCCTTGGCCCTGGCTCTTGTCCCCCAACCACCCTCAGTCAGAGGCTCCAGATTTCCAGCTGTTCACAGTTTAATTGCCACATCAATGAGCAATCAAGAAAATGGCCCCTTGGGAGGCTGAGGCAGGCAGATCTCTGTGAGAGCGATGTTAGCCTGGTCTACATAGTGAGTTCCAGGCCAGCTAGGGCTATAGGGAAACCCTGTGTCAAAAACAAAAGGTCTCCCAGGAGTTCTGGAGAGCTGGCTCAGTGACTAAGAGCACTGACTGCTCTTGCAGAGGACCTAGGTTCAGTTCCCAGTACCCACATGGCAACTAACTCAAGTTCCAGGGGATCTGACCCCACTTCTGGCCTCTGAGGGCATTGCATGACACCACTACATTTACATACATGTAGGCAAAACACTCATACACATGAAATATAAATCAAAAGAAGAAGATCCTCAAGTGATGGCCACATGGCTGAGCCCCTGCCAAGGGCTCTTGAGCACCCACAGCCCTACAGTCTGCCTTGGCACTTGCACACACGTTCAGGCCTGTCTTGCCAGGCAGTGTTCAGTCTCTAGTGTCTAGCCCTGAACACAGTGGGCCCCTTGGTGCTGGTATGAAAATGGGAGCCAGTCAAGTGTCACAGAGGGGACCATGCACTTCCACAGAGGACAGCAGCCCTGGAGAGCAACAGTGACTCCATGGGTGGGCATCAGGAGGGGCGCTGAAGTCAGAGAGGGGGGAGTCTGTACACCAGGAGAGCAGTTATAAAGGCCCTGGGGGAGGTGTTGAGACTCTGAGCTGAAGACAGGCCCCAAGGGAGCACAATGTGCAGGTGGGCGGCCCTGCCAAGTAGTTCATTTGAGGAAACCATGGAGAGTCTCTCCCACTGACCATGTGGCAGAGTAGCCAAGATGCCTGTGTGGGTGAATGTGCTGAGTGTTTTCTAAGAACCATGTGCAGCCTCTGGCTTCCCACAGCCTCTCTGCCCTTTGCCATCCTGACCCTGGTGAACTCACCCTACAAACGAGGATTCTACTGCACAGACGACTCCATCCAGTACCCCTACCGTCCAGACACCATCACCCATGGACTCATGGCCGGGATCACCATCACGGCCACTGTCATCCTTGTAAGAGGGGGAAGGGCTGAGGTGGGGCCCAGAAATCTATTTGGAGAGAATCAAGGCGGGTGTTGGGGGACTGGGGTGTGTAGGGCCTAGCTCCTCAGCATTCCCTACCAGAGCCAGCCCGTGTCTGCTCAGTGCCCTGCATCTGCTCCCTCTGCAGGTCACAGCAGGGGAGGCCTACCTGGTGCATACAGAGCGCCTCTATTCACGCTCCGACTTCAACAATTATGTGGCTGCTGTCTACAAGGTGCTGGGGACCTTCCTGTTTGGGGCGGCTGTGAGCCAGTCCCTGACCGACCTGGCTAAGTACATGATTGGCCGTTTGAGGCCCAGTTTCTTGGCTGTCTGTGACCCCGACTGGAGCCGGGTCAACTGCTCTGGCTATGTGCAGCTGGAAGTTTGCCGGGGCAGCCCAGCCAACGTCACTGAGGCCAGGTGGGTGCACACTATGCCTGGGCAAGTTGGGTGTGTCTGGCAGGACAGGTTCACAGGTGGGAGGCCTCAGGGTTCATTTATTTGGTAGGCAGGGCCGGGTGTGTGCAGTAAGCCTTTAATCCCATTACTCAGATGTGAGAGGTAGGTGGATCTCTGTGAGCCTGGTCTTCTACATAGAAAGTTCCAGGCCAGCTGGGAAACACGGTCTCAGTAAGTAAATAAATAAATAAATAAATTAAATAAATAAATAAATAAATAAATAAATAAATAAATAAAAACTTATCCGTGAAGCAGCCACCAGCTCTGCAGAGCTGGGGTTGCTGTTGCCCACCCTCACAGCAGGTGGTGAAGGATCAGCTCTGAGGAGCGTGGCTGCTGCTCCTTCAAGGTTAGTCCCCTGTCCCAGGGCTTGGTTGCTGTCAGCACTGTTTGTCTTTCTGTCTGTCCTGCTCTTGTGGGCCTTGCTGTTCATACTTGGTATAGCCCAAGGGGCCCATGTCTCCAAACTTCTTGTGCTCACAGTCTACCACCTCACTTGCAGAAGCCCCCTCCTGTGACCTTCCAGCACTTTCTCACTTTGAATATTGCAACTTTCACATCCATAATATTTTTGGTTGCTTTAAAATTTTTTTCTATTTTTTTGAATTAATTTTTTTTTTTTTTTTTTTTTTCTTTTTGAGACAGGGTCTCCTTGTAGCCCCAGCTGTCCTGGTAGACCAGGCTGGCCTTGAACTCACAGAGATCCTCCTGCCTCTACCTCCCAAGTGCTGGGATTAAAGGCGTGTGCCACCACGCCCGGCTTGAATTAATTTTTATGAGTGTTTTGCCTGCATGTAAGTGCACCATATGTGTGCAATACCCTCAGAGACCAGAAGACAGTTTTGAATCCTGTGGAACTGGAATTAAGAATAGTGGTTAACTGCTATATGGGTGCTGGGAACTGAACCTGGGTCCTCTGCAAGAGCAGGCAGGTCTCTTAACCACTCAGCCATCTCTCCAGCCCCTGTCCACCATATATATTATAATATATATTATACATAATA